TATTTTGCAAAATAAGTTATCTAGTTTCTAATTTAGGTAACTTATTTTTATTGTATTCGAAACCAAAAATAAATTCTATGTAAAAACTGTTTTTTACTCTCCCTTTACGCGGTAGAATTTCAAAAAATATTAACCAAAATCCTTATTAAAAACAGAAATAACAACTAACTGATTTTTGATACATTTAGTATTTAAAATAGGGTTATATTTTCTAAACAAGTTATATATTAAACTATAATAGCTGTGCATGAACAGTCAAATTAACGACAATTAGGGTCCCGCGGGAGTGACGCGACGCGGCGGGAGCTATATTTATGCAATTACATGAATTCGTTCCGCGCAGTTGCTAAAGGGGTCGATGTCAAAATAACTCTAAATATTAATAAATTTCCCTTCTCACTTTAAATAAGAATCAAATTCTGTTACACAATACAGAAACAATTGTTAAAGAAATTGAGTTATTTCGATCATTTACTATTAAGTCCTTACCTATAGTAAGGAAATAATTGTGGTCCACATTTTAGATTCAACAGAAATGCTGGTTTGTCTGTAATGAATGCAGTTGTCAGTTAAATATTTTAAATTTTGGGTAGAATCGAAAATATGCTCCGTACTCTTTTTTGGAAAATTTGTTAACGACTTTTTCATTACTTATGTAAGTAAAGTATTTATATATAATTTATATAACTTAAAATAATAAAAACATAACATTCTGCTTAAATAATCTTATTTTTTGTATGTAAAAGTTTGAATAAATTTTTAAATCTCCAAAACCCAACGGATCTCTGAAATTTAGTATAGAAGTAGAACATAGTTTAAAGAATTTATACTAAATATTTTTTACGCTTGGACGGTGTTACTGGCAGAAGGTAGTATCTAAATTAAATTCCTATTTTAAAAGGATTTAGATAAAAAAGTGACATTAGGCAATAATTTAAAAGTTTTTAACGAGTGCGGTCGACAGATGACACATATTTTGGCGCGCTCTGCCCGCACGTGACGCCATCTTTTATTCAATTCGTTTCGCTTTCCTTTCATTTATTTGCTACGCCGATTTTGTTTTGTCATAATTATATTTATAGTATCATTTAGTTTAGGGGTAGATCTTTGTAGCAATAATAGCCGATTTTATGCTTTGGTTTAAATTTATTCAAATGTGCTACGGTAGCTTATAGCAATATATTTTAAAATTTATCTATCCTAATTTTGCGTCATTCAATAAAAAAAATGTAAATTAACAATACCAAAACTAGTTAAATATTTTTTGTTTAAATACATTGCCATCTCTCGTCGAGTAGTAGAAATTAAAAAAATATTGTTAATGTCGCTGCTGCCATCTATTGACAAGTAGTATTAATTACACTTTTTATTTCTCTTGTAAACTACATCGTCCGCCTAATCATAGAGTAATTTTAAAAAATTTCATTTTAATTACGGAAAAGGGATAAAAAATGAAACCATCAAATATCGAAACAAGCATTTATTAATTCAATATCCATATAATAGCTAATATACAAAACATTTTATTCACATGTCTTCTACAACATCGCTCACTTTGGTCAAATCTGCGATAACAAAACAGGAAAACCAAAAACTTAAAATTTCTTTACCAATTACAATTTACACTGAGAAATGATAATTTTAATACATTTTTTTGCAAACCGTATACTAAATACAAATATGATTACGATAAATGATTTAATTCTTACTAACATACTAAATTTAGTCGAATAATCGACTAATCGAATAAGTTAGTATAGCTTTTACAAGATCATTGACAGCACAAAATTGTTCCATACAAATACTTCATTTAAGTTTACTTCTAAGTAATATTTTGTTCAAATCAATATTCTAAAATAATATTTAACATGGAAATGTATATAATTTTGTTTGAATTAACTCAAAAAACTACTTGATCCATTACAAAAAGCGAAAATCTGTAAAATAAACACTGAGACAATTTCACATCTAAGCGGCAGATTAAGAGTACTTTAGCAAAATAAATATGAAATATTTCGAACTGTCAAAACATAATAAACTACAAATTTAGAACTTGACCGTTATTTGACAAGCGTTAAATGTTACAATACAAAATGATTTACGTAAAACTGAGATCCATATCCCTTATAATAATTTTCGCCAACCCACCTTGTAGGTCGATCTCTACAAACTATGTACTATCAAGGAATCTGGCGGTGTTACACAAACTAACCATTTCAACGGTTTTACGCTGAGATGCGAAACAACCAATAGGACGCTAGCTTTTAAATGTACCGAAAAATCTTTTTATTCTTATCGCTTAGGCTACGTTATTTGTTAGAGGAGTTTGGTTGCAACGAACAAGGCAATTGAGAGTGTATCACCGCGGATTACCCCTACTGTACTTAAGGACTATACCACGAATGTTTGAAGTTGGATATAATTGTATTGAATGATTTAGTATTCACTTTGTCAGAGTGAAAAGGATAGCTATAATATCAATACAAGCATTCTATCATACTAGCTTTAGTCCGCGACTTCGTCCGCGTGTAATTAAAAAAAAACAGAAGTAAGTAGCCTGTGTGTTCTTCCAGATTATCCTCTACGTATATGCCAAAATTCATATTAGTAAGATTATTATTATAAATGCGAAAGTTTAGATGGATGTTTGTTAGAGTTTGTAGTATAAACCGCTGAAGGGATCTCAATGAAATTTGGTAAGATGTAGAGTATAGTTTGGAAGAACACATGGGCTACTCACTTTTGTTTTTTTAATTCTACGCTGACGGAGTCGCGGGCGAAAGCTAGTTGAAATTATAAAGTACATTTTTTTTATATTGAGTGTATATAAAACATACAGATTAAAAATGGATTTATGGAAATAGTATGACAAGAAATAAAATCTGATATTTTCCCCTATTACCTGTAAATTGTCAACTTCATACATTTCGTGGGCAATATAAAAACTAAATATACCCTTAAAAATTACTTAAATATCGTAATGTAACATATTGTAACAATTAAAAATGATTATTAAGGGTGGGTTAAATCGGAGTACAAGGCACGGTTATGAACTTATACGTAACTTAGTTAATAATAATAAAAATGCATTTATATTTACGTTAGGAGACAAAAACTATATTTTTAAACATACAAAGACAGTTATAAGAGTAACAAATTATTAATAATTTCAGAGATGACACAAAAAACCACGTGACAACTATTCTTTTTTTTTAATTCACATCCCTACGTCAGACGTCAGTTTGACAGCTGTCAAACTGTTGACGGAACTTGTCAAAGCTGACTTTTAATGCGTCAAAATAATCCATCCAGATGAGAGGCGCTTTTTGCGCCATTTCTGTCAAATAATGACATGACAGCTGAAGTATATGGACCTTTTGAAATTATTGACAGAAGACGCAAGTTTTTTGTGATTCAATCGAAATACCGGGTTAGTTTTGTCTTTTTATGGTTATGTCTTTTTCGATTTTTTTATGAATTAGTTAGAAAAAAAAATCAGATTTTATATATTCAGGAACGTTAAAAATTCACACAATTAAAATTACTTTAAATAATGTATTGTTACAATTAAATATATAAAAACTTAAATCTAAATTAATCTGGACTGGGATTGACTTTTACTTATTAATTTCTTAAAACACACGCATTTGTAAAATACTATGGAATATTAAATAATTTGATATTAAAAAATACATTAAAATCGTAATAAAATTATGGTTTTTAGAAAGAAAAAGTTATACATCATTTTTATATACGCTATATTATTTCTAAATCTATACATATTAGATTAATATAAATATTACAAACATTTCTTATTATATTCTGTTGATAAATCAATAACTAAAAGCTGCATAGAACCAGATTAGGAGAAATTCATGGTTTGGCAGTTTTTTTGTCCTCAAGTGTACATTATGTCACTAAAAATGCTGCTTAGTGTAATCCACTCCAAATGGACTTACTAATATTATAAATGCGAAAGTTTAGATGGATGGATATTAGAGTTTGTGGCCTACACGGCTGAACTGATTTCGATAAAATTCGGCATACATCTAGAGCATAGAGCACGTAGGCTACTTGCTTTTGTGGTTTTTAATTCCACGCGGACGGAGTCGCGGGCGAAAGCCAGTATATAAAGTATATAAGACCGATTTGGAAAATTCATCGTTATATAGGTAATTTAGCTCTAAGTAACATAGGCTACATTTTTTAATTCCACGCGGACGAAGTTAGCAACAGCCAGTACTATATAAAGACAAAAAAACTTACAAACACCAACTTAAATCTAACTTAAACTTATACATTCAAACAAATATCACAAAGGCTAAATGGAAGAATCATAACATATACATGTAAATTCGATAATTAGTAAAAAGCACATACAATCACATAAATATATTTTTAAAGGCACTTATATGTCAAATTTCAGTCACTAAATAAGAGAGAACTCGCAAAAGGTTTTTTTTCCTAGTCATATTTCTTTTGTTTGTCATCATTTATGTCACTGATCAATTGTGAACTTGGTCTTTTTATAATCAGTCTAAACATTTATGTAATCTATTAATTCTGCATTTAATAATTTTTAGGTTAAATTTCTTCACATTTTAAACGCTTTTAAATTTAATATATGGTCTTGGTTCATTCTACATTTTTGACCTACTTCCCAAAAGGAGGTACTCATCGTCTGTATGTTTTTTTTCTTTTAATGTTTGTTTTATTTTTTTATGTGTGTTGCGGTATAACTCCGCCGCTAATGGACCGATTTTGATAATTCTTTTTTTATCCGAAAGGTAATGCTTGGAGGTGGGTCCCATTTTTTGTTTAATTTTTGGAGTCAGACTACGATGTAGTTAAATAGTTTATTTTAAATCTAAGCATACATCATTTGCTTTTTTAATAACAATTAGGTATGCTTAGTTTAAAAATTAAAAAAAACAATTCGTAAATCGTCTTTCCTTAAAAGCTCATATCAAATTGTGAATTTATATTTTGTTTAAATTTTAGTTAAATAGCAGAAAATAATCATAATAAGAGTATATTTGTTACGTTTGACATAAAATTGTCAATTATTGAATTTACTTCCCGTTTTGATATATCTAGACCGATTACAAACTATATTCACAATGTACCAGTGACATCGTTTCACTCAGTCTTGTTCACAACAGTTTTGTGCGCTTTGATCCATTATGACGTCATTGAACTGAGGGTTGAGGGGTCAAGTTATATTGGTTGAGTAATTTTATATCGTAAGAAAGTGGTCACAGTTGGTAAATTACATTAAAAAAGATTATTTTTTTATTCTGTCTACCCTATTTTTAAAGTTATGAAATAATAGGTTACATATTGCCATATCAGAATATTTAAGGAGCAATTTAAAGGACCTTTCTTAACATAAAGTTATTGTACTAATTATTTCCAAGAATGAAGGCAGTTTTAAAAAACTATTTATTCAAACTAAACCTCTTTGAGGTGTTTTAATTTTATAATGAAACGTAGTAATTTTGACACTGAGTATTATTGAAAATAAATCAAAATTAAAACCATAATGTCAATTGTGGGTAGACAGAAACAAAGTCATTAGTACAAATGTGACAAAAGGTACTGTACTAAACATTTATCACGGATATAAAGGCAGATACCCAAATAAATTTAATTTTTAAACTAAGCACTAAATTATAACTTAGTTTAAAAACTAAACTGAACTTAGCGTATTACCTTATATTCCATTTCTAAGGCGTGTTTTACATTTTTCAAAAATAGACTTTCTAGATCCTCTTCCCGCGCTTGTCTTTCCGCCTGTCAGTGGAGACAGGGGAGGTGACAGATCTGATCATCTCCACGATGTGGGAGTCGAAGCGCGGCGAGTGCAGCCTCTTCGCGGACCGCGTCCGAAACTTTGCTGATTCCTGATTTACCACTGGTGTTAATGATTTTATACATCTGGAAATTAAAAAAATATGTTTGTTAATCATACTTATATAATAAATGAAAGGATGGATAGGTGAGTAGGTTTCTCTAAAAAGGTTTTTTTTTTTTACTATAAGATGGCAAACGAGCAAGCGGCCTGAATTCACTGAAATGGAAAGCGACCGCTGCCCATAAACATCCGCAATAGGGAATATGCATGTTTTTTTTTCTTTTTTTAAACGATTGTACTTGTTATAAAATGACCACAAAATAAATTTGACGCGAAAATATTCAACCATTGAGCTAAAAATAATAAAATAATATTACGACCATTTTCGAGCGACTAAAACGCGACCGGAGTTGTCATGAGACGATTGACGTCAATGGTCTATTTCATTCATAACGTACGCTCAGATGTCACTTCGACGTAAAACACAACAGTTTCTCAAGATCAAAAAGTCAAAAATCGATTCATTTTTATTATTCCTGGTACAAATAAATGGTAATTAATAATTCTATTCATTAATTTTTTTTTAAAAAGTTGGTTTTGATACCGTGTTTACAGTAAAATACTTCAAAGAGTGTATTTCTATATAAACTAACGTAAATGAACTGTATTGTCAACGCAGCGACGCCATATTAGATAAGCCACTTGCTTCGACCAATAGTGTGCGTTTTAGAACTTAGCGAGGGAATTTGAAAAAAGACACTTTTTAATTATTAAATTTTGCCACTAAATCACATTATATTAAAAAAATCTTTGCAGGACTGGTTTTATAGTTTAAAGTATACTTAAAAAAAGTTTGGTACAATTTGGCATCATATGCATATTGCCTATTGCAATCAAATCAAAAATACAAATCTTTCCTCTTTATAACATTAGTAAATCCGCAAGGGAACAGCTGGTATTTCGATGCATTATTTGTGACATCCTATATCCTCAACTAGTAGATAGATTTAATCAAATGAGGGACCAATCGATTGGTATTTTCGTGTACCTGGCAGCCTCCTGCAGCCTCCTGGTGAGGAGGTCGTTCTTCTGGCGAGCTGCTGCCAGCTCGCGGCGCAGCTGCGCCTTGCTCTTGTTGCCGGCGGGGTGCAGCAGCGCGTGGCGCCGCAGACGGGCCGCTGACGGCCGCAGCATTGGCTCGGGGTCCACCATTTTCTGATACACAAATACATTTTAAAAAATATCACACAATTCATATATCTATACTAATTTTATATAGAGACTATCATTAGAAAACTACATTATCTCTGAGTAACATAGGGTATATTTATAAATTTCACGTGAACGAACTCGCGAGCAACAACTAGCCTATAATAATGTAATAAAACGTTAACAGACTTCAATGTTATTGTTCTTAAAAACTATCGTGCTGGAAAGGGACAAAAACTACAAGTCAATTACAAGGATAATTCCATTGTAACGGTAATAATTGTTAGCCAATGGCAGAATCTTCTCAATAAAAGTTTTAAAAAATGTAAACGATAAAATAAAATTCATATAACATCATGGTGATGGCGCACGAGAACAGTCAGTATTAATAAATATAGTAAATGTTTACCTTTAACAGTTCATTAAACTCCTTGGACAGGTTTGGCAGATGTGGCAGTTTCCCGTCTCGGTAGTCATGCCACTGCTGGCCGTTCTTCGGCAGCGGCCCGCCGCCGCCCGCCTCGAACAACGTCAGACCTAACATACAAATAATAATTATTATTTTATATTACAAGGTGGCAAACGAACAAGCGATCGCCCGAATACGCCGAAATGGCGAAGCGACCCACTACCCATAGACAATCCGCAATTGCATGCGTTGCCTACCCTTAATCGACTGAGGAGACGCGCATAAACAGGATATTTCCCCTTCTTACGCGTCTCCTCCACCGTCAAATCCACTTTCCAATCCAATCCTTCCCTTATAAGAAGAGGGTGGAAAGGAAAAGGGACTAAAATAGGGTCTCTGGCACCAGACTCATCAGACTGTACGCGGAATTGCTTCCACTTCACGCCTATCTTGTGGGGTCATGGTATTACACCGGGCGAGCCCTACACTGCGATGTTAAAGCGGGTTCCACCATTGTTATTTTTTTTTATTACTAAAACGCAAAAACGATGCTAAAGACCTTAAGAATTTGAATTAAGGTTTGTTTGAATGGTTTAGAATAGTCGAATTACAAGATTCGAACCCTCGACTATGTTATCGGGAATCCATACCCTTAACCATTAGGCTATTGGCGTATTGGTTAAGTAATAAATATTAAGTTACCGAATGCAAATATATCAGCTTTGGTGAGATGCGTGAAGTCCTCCTGCAGCACCTCCTTCGGCAGATATCGGCAGTCACCTTCCTCCACCAGCGGTGACGACACACACGTCACATGCCCCAGGTCTCCTAAGTAACATTACATAAAAATTTAATTACTTATTCTATGTTCCGCCATTATTCCAAGACTGTTGTTACATTATAAATTCCGATTATATTAAAATTTCATGAATTCCATATTACATTGTCCCAGGGCAAAGGTCGTTATGAATTTAGTCTCGAAAGGGACAAGGCAATTTTTCTGTAAGCATACCGCGTATAGCCTTGACTGTATTATAGAAGATTTTAAAACAATTTCCATTGAATTTATCATATCAGAATTCCTTAATCTACGATATAAGCAATTCACTGCGCAAAAACTGATAGATATCAAATGTGAACTGTTAAAATGGTCTTAATATAGTAAATAAACAAAAAGACAAAAATTTTTGTCAGTCAACATTATTTTCATAGCCATGAATCAAATATGCTTAATACAAAAAAGAATTATCAAAATCGGTGCACTAGCGGCGGAGTTATGCCGTAACACACATAAAAAAACATACAGACGAATTGAGTACCTCCTTTTGGGAAGTCGGTCAAAAATAAAATAACGTCACAACCAGAATGTCAAAAATTAATGCAATATTTTTAATTTAAGATTTATTTTTATTCAATCTAATCCGGGCGTAAGCACATTGATTCATGTAAACTTTGTACTTAAATTTTTTTTTGTCAAGTTTAAGTCCAATACTAAAGCTTAATAATCTTACTAATTCTTACTAATCTCACTAATATTATAAATGTAAATGTTTAGATGTATGGATGTTTGTTAAAGTTTGCGGCCAAACTACTGAACGGATCTCAATGAAATTTGGCATACATGTAGAGGATAGTTTAGAAGACCACATAGGCTACTTGCTTTTGTTTTTTTATTCTTTGCGGACGGAGTCGGGGTCGAAATCTAGTCTTTACTAAATGAGAAATACCTAGTTTATATATATGGTGTGGATTCTGCGGGGTGTCATCATCATCATATCCGTCATCGGAGTCCGGCGCCGCGAACTGCTCCGCGCGGCACACGAATATGTTCCCCGGCTTCACGTCCATGTGCACCAGCTGCCGCGAGTGGATGTAACTGCATAACAAACATATTTTAAACATCGGAAAATAGAAATTAAAACTGCAAGTGAGTCTTTTAAAATAATGGAAAATATATCGAGTAGAACATCGATATAAAGTCCAAAGGAAACACAAATTAATTAATAGAGGTTTTAAGTTATCAAGGGTCTGTGTTGTAGAGGTTTTGGTCTCTGGGGAAGGGCACATATAATTTTTTGAAGTTATCGAGGTTCTACTGTATTTATTTATTAAAATCATGTAAGATTAATTACACATAATACATATATAATTAAAAATAATTTCTAAGAAGAAAGCAATTAACTTTAGAGATTAACCAAACTAACAGAAACTAACCAATTTTTTTTAAATAATGGATTTTGGATAATTAGATGATTTTTGATTATAAACAATCTGCGGCAAAGCAAGATTGTTATGGTAACGGTATTATTAGCCAATAACAAAGGCCTTCATTGTCATTTAAGTTTCATGAAATATAAATATAATATGCAGTTTTTATAACAATATATAACAGCTAAATACTTACGCTAATCCTTCAGCAATATGAGCTAATAACAGCAGCAGTTCAGGCTCCGGTAACGGACCAGCCTCCATCATCTGCTGCAGCGAGCCACCATCACAGTATTCGTTCTGGATTATCATATGTCCATCCTCCGCCCATGCTGAGTAATATCTGTTTACAGGGTAGAGACATATCTTTAAGTTAATACTCTAAGTTAAACAATCAATAGATTAAGGGCCTGTCCCACAATTGTAAATTGTCAGATAACAACCCACATAAAATATGTGATGAAAGTATCGGATTTTGGTACTCTATCTAACAGTAATGTCACTTTCTATGTGAGCCTCTATCAGCCTGTGGTGGGACAGGCCCTTAATGTGTGTATATGAAACAGAAGGGGAAAATACAAACATCTCTAAATGAAATTGACATAATAGATACCAATAATATAAATTTAAGTTTAGTATATCGTATTTTACGTAGTAATTATAATGTATTTAGTTAATAAGATAGCTATTGCTCTCGACTTCGTCCGCGTGCCATTAAAAAACGATAGAAAAACATGTTAACCATAACATAGCTTTTTAATGGTGCAAGAATTTATGAAATCGGTCCAGTAGTTATTGCGTTATTTTGTACATAAAAAAATCAAAAAGTACAAATCTTTTCTCGTTATAATATTAGCATAAAAAAAAACAAAAGTTAGTATCCTATGTGTATTTTCAGACTATTTTCTACATCTATGCAAAATTTTATCTACACTTTCGCATTTACAATATTAGTATAGTTACCTGACTACATGTGGATGCATTCCCAGCACCGCATGAGCATAGACTTCAGTAAGGGCATTCCGTTCCGCAGCCGAGCCGGCGACTGGTCGCAGCGACCGTTTCAACGCGTACACACAACCGTCCAGTTTGTTGAGACATCGGCTCACCTCGCCGAAGGAACCGCGACCAACCACCTCCTGCTCCACGAACTCAACGCTGTACCGCGGTATATTCGAATCCTGGTACATATTAAACAAATTTATTAAATAAACATTTGCATACTCCATCTGTTTTTATTAATATGAGATTTTTGTTAATTCGCTAATATTTCCTTTAATCATTCCGACTATGGCTGCTAGGATATGGTTCACAATAATTTCAATAAAGTCAAACCCTTGACCGCAAGATCGGTAGACTGTACCCCAAACCATTAGGCTATTGGCGCTCAAACTGCTGTTAATCATTGCAAAAATTGTATTTTACTAGTTTTCTTTTTTTTGATGCTATTGCCTTGTAGTTTTGTCTCATTGTCAGCAAGTTTTCAAATTAACTCACCACTTTAATTTAATAGTATGAAACATGACGAACATCAAAAGAGAATTTCCCTTCCTATCCCCCAGTCTCCATCAAATCCACAATCCTTTCCATTCTTTCCTTAAAAGTGTAAGGGAAGGGGACTAAAATTAAGCCTCTGGTAAATAGAAGCTATATTACATACCCTCATTCGTTTCGCCGGCGGCAGTTCTGGAGACTGTCCCCACGTAGGTGTTTTAGATTGACCTCGGTTGTTTTGATTCATCGCCTGACCTATGTAAGAACAAAAATGAAGTATTAAAGACTGCAAAATTTGCATGGTAACTTTTAAAGATATGAAAATTGCAGTATTTTGTATATATATATATATATATATATATCAAACAAAATGACTTTTAAAAGATGCAACTATGGATGAATTGACATCGCAGATTATTAAGAATTTAAAGTTTTTACAATGTTGTCTTCCTATTTAATTGTGTTGGTATATTCCTCAATTCTTTTATAGTAAAAAAACAAAAATGTTCAAGCAGCCTATAAATTCCACTAAAGTGAAGCAACCACTGCCCATATACATCTTCAACAAATTACCAACAACTTGCCAACATTAAATAGAAGTGGTGACATACAGTAAGAGGATATTTGTTATGAGTACTTACCCTCAGGTGTGAATGGGTTGATATTAACAATGGGTCTCCTGACTCTCGAGTCATCCAAGTCTTCAGGAAGTAAACTGCCAAGTGCACTGTCGTCGTCGCCCGACGGCGGGTGGAGGTGATGACTGGAACCTGATGGTACACCTGGAAGTCATACAATAATGAATCCTTTATCATACAAAGTCTATAGAATAATATATAGCTTTTAGGTCCTCTTAATTGGTCCCTAGAAGAGAATGACATGGCATATTGCCAGAACTGTGAAGCTACCGATGTAGCCTTGTTGTGTAATAAGTGCTGAGGCTTTCAGGTGCCTTGTTGATCCCGGAATCCCCTTATTGCACTAGATATTGGCCACTAAAGAGGATTTAGTGGGTTAAAACCCACAAAACTCTCTCAGGCAGGGAATCTTTCAAAGATTTCGTACCCCAATACAGAATACAGGATCTCTTAATAGGTGGAATTCATCAGATAAAATCTAACACTTCTTAAATTCCTTTCTAAGAGCAAGATATCACCATGACAATGAATTAGTACTAGAATAAGTAGGATTCAGACATATCTTACCCGTGGGAACACATAGTTTTGGTGGAAATAGCTTAGACCTCAGCGGGCGGTGTGTTGGTGTTGAACACTTTTCCAGCAATGCCTTTGGTGTGTGGGGTGTGTCAAATAATCTGCAAACAAACATACTATGTTAACAACTAATAAAACATTCAAGTTTGGAATGTAAAGACAATTATTTAGGGTAACTTTTACAAAACCTTTAATAAGTAACATTTATTATCATAAAATAAGAAAATGTTCCATGTTGTTATCAAATTTTAATTTCTAAATTTTCGTAATAATTACTTATATTTTAAAACATTACTATATCTCATTATTATCTTTTTCCGACTATTAAAGACATAAATATGTTACTCAGACTAAGTTAGTATATAAAAATTATGATACTAAAGATTCTATTTGCCCTTTCAAACTCACCCTAAGGGTGATAAAACGCACACAAGCACAAGTTGTATTCATACCCCAACACCTGAAGCTTGCATTCTTTAGAAAAATCTTTAAGAAATCCTACACAATAGAAAATACACCTTAAAAGTGTTCCAAACAGTTCTTATTCCTTTAACATGAAATACCTGCTCACAACAAAACACTTTTTTTCATTCTAAGATGTAAAAATAACCTTACATATGCAATAAAAGATTTCCAACATTATTTTCAAACTTTTCCATTGAATAAAAGACTCTATTAATACTGCTAAAGTATCAAAATTGCTTGATAAGTGAAAGTATTTGTGTGTTGACATGCAGAGGAAATTGAGCTTTAATGTGTTTTATGTGAGTTGAAATTCAAATGTATAATTACATCAAGGTGTTTGTCGTAAGATGTTTTTTTAGCGTGGGCGTATTTTTTTCGCCTAGCAGATGTCAGCAGTTCAATCATATGTTTGCTCTTTTGTGTGGATTAACTGTATTTCAACTGATTTTAACTGAAATTCTCATAGCTTGTGCTTAACAAAGGATCTTTTATGCATATTTTTACGATTTCAAGTTGGTTTTTGCATCGTTTTTTAGGAAAAACGCTCAGCAATTATGGTTTTTAATAGCATATGTATTTTAAAAACATGAAAATGGCTGCTATTAACTTACAAAATCTCACACTACTATAAACACATTCTTTGTAGCTTATGTTTGGTTCATGAAATCTTAGTATAAGTTAGTTAATTGTTAAATTAAATAAAGTGAATGTAACTACTTCTTTAGAATAAATATAAACTGAACTTTATAAATTCACCAGCTTTTGCCCACAACTCTGACTAGAGTAACCAGAAATGAAGTATGTAGCTTATATATTCATTTTTTTCATTCAACCCAGATTCATTTTTTTTTCCTGGAGATACACTAACAATCATCCATCTCAACTTTCATATCTTTATATATGAAAGAAAGTTGTGTTAATTACACTATTTGTAACTTAAGAACGCCTTTACAGATATGGCTGAAAATTGGCAAGGAGGTAGGTTAGAGTCAGGAAAAGGACATAGGATACTATTTATTCAGATTGACTCTCTACAGACAAACAGAGTCATGGGCAAAAGCTAGTTTATAATATTTAAAGACATATAAAATGTAATTCTTTTCAATTACATTATAACACCAAACTAGCTTTAAAATATATTAAATGTTTAGAAAGTCGTCTAATTTGTATTCTGTAATCTGCCTATCATAAAGGTCATAGGTATTAGAAAGTGTTGCAAAAAACAAGTTAAACAGCACACAAGGTCATCAATACTCGTTGGACAAGCTATGAGCTGATTTCCTTGTCCAAACATGTGTTTTTAGGACAAGTTGTAACATGTTTTTCAGATGAATATTATCAAATGGAGTATTATTATAAAACATATATTCAAGATTTTTTGAGTGCTTTTGTCGTAATTTAGCTTTCTGTAATTTTTTATCATCATTTTCTAAAGTGTTTAGAGAGTTATAAAATGTTTAATATTGTTAGTATTACTGTTTACATAACTATTCCTACTTTACATTGTACAATATTTAAATAAGTTCAAATATGCATCCTCTTTTAATCTCATCTAGGTTTACCCATCTTCTGTAATTGTTAGCAGTTGTTCTCAAAAATTATTTTTCACATGAATTCGGAAGAATGTGTATGTAAGCCATGTCATACAAATTACATAAAACAAGTGTATCAAACTTATTTTAATATTAAAATGATATCAAGGTTATTATTAGTGTAAAACTGAGGTTAAAAGTAAGAAAGGTTATTTGGTATAACTTAAATTACTTTAAAAGGATGTACCAAAACAGTTGCAACACAGTTCAGAGCTGGTCTTCTATGGAACTCAATATGGATAGATGATAATGTGGGTGTATATTCATGTATGGTATGAAATTATGTTTAACACTCAGGATAGTATTAAAACCTTTAATAAAGAAGAAATTAAGATATAGTCCAATTTCTAAGTGACTATGTTAGATATCTATGAATTTTGGAATATCTCTAACAAAAAAAGATTTATAACAATGTTTTTCATATTTAGTTGACAGAAAGTATACGATTGAATTCAAAAGTCTCAAGGAAAACAGCAACAGTTAAGCAGTTAAGCCATAATTAAAGCTTTAAAACCATTTTGGACGAGATCCAAAGATAACTGAACACCTGCTAACAAAAACAAAACAATAACACATGAAAAGTTGATCTTTAAAAGTTAGGATTTCTTGGTTTTTGAATAGTGATTCCTTTTACATAATCGTGGTATTTTACGTAAGGATGAAAGTCAACGAGGTGACGCAAACTTACCTCAAAGCTCTAACCCTTCTATAAGGCAGGTTGGGTGATTCAGGAGCAGAAGGTTCATCTCGTATAACATCGTCATCCAAGTTAAAATCCAATCTCCTAGGCACTTTAGAAGCCGGTATTGGACTTAAGTTTTCAGAAAAAGAGTTATATGAATCCGACATTTCACAAGATGTTTCCACTGATAATTCCGAAGAATTATGGTTGTTGTTATAACCAGTCTTCATTCTGTACCACTCACTCATTGTTATTTACACATATAATTCACTTATAATGTCAAATTATTAAAATTTTAGTTTATTTCTTAAAAAGCAAACAATGCGCACTTCACAAATTCCAACGTTATGGCGGATGACGCATAGCACCTGGTTAATGGCGCGACCAATCACAGCTAAGTATTAAGCCGGTAGCATGAATACTTGAATTTTATTGGCTGCAGTTATTTTTTTAAATAACGATGTCAAATGATGCATTATAATTGGTGGAATATAGACGCGTTCACGTTTTTGGCTTGATTTAAGTTCGATAAATTTAACCATGTTTTTGTAGAATAAATTAATAAAGAAGGTCTTTTTGGTGAGTTTTGATATTTGTTTAAGATAGATGAGATTTAGGAATACTAGAAAAAACTTCAGCTTTATAACTTTGAAATAACACTAAAACTCTGAAAGATATAATAATGATGTTATCAATAAACTTGAAAAGTATAAAAGTACTTAAAACTTGATTTATAAGATTAATTTAACTCCTTAAAACCAAAGTATTTTGTTTTTTTGTTGTGATTTTTAGTTATCTTTACTATTTATTGAATCTTTAGTTTTTTTGTCACTTTATTTCACTGTCAAATTGACGTCAAACCAGTTAAACGTCAAAACATTTGCACCTATGCGTCATTCGATTTGCTATTGTGAGTTGTTTGGTGCTCAATATTTTCCCCAAATTATCATAAGTTTGATTTTTATGTAATAGTAAAATGAAATAAAATAATTTAATCGCAAAAAATAATGTGCTGTACGGTATTTTGTAGTACTCGAATTATTTACACAAATTAAGCGATATGAATACATTTAAGCTGCTGAAATTCTTTTTATTATGTGTTATACCTTTTTCTTTATGCCAAGAAAGAAAGAGCGATGGAATAACATTTCATTACAATAATACGTAAGTACAAATATTTAAACCTCATCAAACGTAGTTATTTGTTTAATAGAAACAATCAATCTTTTCCTTGAAAATTTAATTCACTTTGCAATTAAATGTCGTGTTTCATGAAATTAGATATGAATTTAGGACATAGATGTCGATTACAATATAAACATAACAAAGAACGTAAGAAAAATACTGAATGCAAATTATTTTATTGATTTCACAATAAAATAATTAAACTGGTCAGAAGTATTCCAATAAACCTTATTTGTTATAAGTTAATACTGACTTCCTGTTAGGTATACAATGTATTCTAGTAAAACATAGATAATGTTTATCACAGGATGCTTAAAGTACTTTACATTATTATTTCATATATCTTTATTTACTTAATAAATAAATAACTTTACATGAATTGTATAAAAATAAAACATGTAAAAAATAGGGCACTTCTGGCTGCCATATGTGATGACTCCAGCAACCGGTGGTTAGGGCTCCAAAGTACTTTATATTATTAACATTATTGGTACATATTTTGACAAAGAATAAGTCAATAAGTTTGATAATTATTTAATATCGACAGTTCAAAATTGTTGGCTATGTGTGTTTGTTTTGTCACTACAATACCAGTCTATTAAGGATGGTATTTGACTTCATATAAATTGAATTTGATACTTCATTCGCGTCATTTATCAAACTAATCTATCTTATTTAGACATACTATAGTTTATATACAAATTAGCTGTCACCTACAACTATGTTAAATAAAAAAAAAATTAAGTAGTCTCAATGTATTCCACCCTATTCTCTACATCTATGTTAAATTTCATGGAGATCCATTTGTCTGTTTAGGAGATACCTTCTAACAAATATACAGTTAAAAATACAAACTTTCACATTTATAATATTGGAAAGATGTGGCTTTCTAGCAGTTGTCCATTTTACTATCTTAAATTTTCATTTGTTATTTACTTTTGTTGATAAAAGACACAAATGTTTTTTTCTAATCTAAGTAAATAAATAATCTATATGCTTTCTATATGTATACAGGCGGTATTTCCAGACCAATATGACTTAGAGTCCTTTAAGAAGCGAGCCTACAACTTCCTCAAAGGCTGGCAACGCATCTGTAGTACCCTTGGTGTTGTGGATGTCCATGGGCGTTGTTGACCACCTTTGTGTTCCCGCCGCTTGTTTGCCCTCTTCTCATATAAAAAAAAACTACTCAAGTGTCAATGATCATTTTATATGGTCATTGAATTATAATCTATGTTCTTAACCTTTGAACTGCCAATGCAATATAATTATATAAAAGTTTATTTCTTACTTTGTTGTCTATTGTTTATTTATGAATATTACTTCTTACTAATATTATAAATGGGAAAGTTTGGATGGATGCTTGTTAGAGTTTGTAGCCTAAACTGCTGAACAGATCTTGATTAAATTTGGCATAAATGTAGATAGTGATGAAGAACACAAGTGGTATTTATTATTAATAACTAGCTTTCGCCCGCGACTCCGTCCACGTGGAATAAAAAAAAAAGTGAGTACCCTAAGAGTTCTTCCAGACAATCCTCTACAACTATACCGAATTTCATCTAAATCCGTCCAATCGTTTAGGCTACAAACTCTAACAAACATCCATCCATCTAAACTTTCGCATTTTTGATATTAGTATGAAGTATGATAGCTTGAATGATTCTTTTTAATTCCAGGTATATGTATGGTGTTTCATATATAGTAAACGTTAGTAAAAATGATGAATACATTATGGAGTTTGCTGGGGTAAGTCTGTCATATACAATATTCCATTTATATTAAAAAGATCTTTATTACTTGTAACATAGGGTTCAAAATATGATAAACATTAGATGCTTGTTGAACATTCATTTAAAATTATGTTTGCAAGGACCAAGATGCGTATGACACTCCGGCGCGTGTGACAGTGGCAAGCGACTTCGCTAATGGCACCTATCCATTATTCATTACTGCTAGACAACAAAAAGGTAAGAACAAGGATAAGCTTAATATGACAGAAAGAAATAAAGTTTGATATTGTTAACCTGGTATTAAGAGAATGTTTTTTTTTTACTTTTAATCAGTTTTTTGATTGTTAAAATCTTTGAATCATGTCCCCTAGTTGAGACTGCATATTCAAAGGCCGGCAACGCATCTGTAGTTCCTCTGGTGTTGCGGATGTCCATGGCCGTCGTTGACCGTCTCTGTGTTTGTTCGTTTGCACCTTTCTGTTATAAAAAAAAGGGACTAGTTGTAGTGATGGGAAATTCAACTAAAATTGATGATTTATAAATCAGCTCATAAGCTGACCTATAGTTCACATGAATCGGAGAACCGGCTCACAGTTTGATTAGTATTTAATAAGCCATAAGCACATGGTTTTTTGGAATTACTTTTTAGCAGGCTACCAGCTCATCAGCTTCCATGGTTATGGTACATCATACAGGGGCCACCCTAGTTTGGACACCAGTCCCCTGCACTGAGAGAAAATTAATAAAGTTATTTTATTATTTTTTTATTTTAATGCCGTTAAAATTCGTTGGCGGCTCTTTTTTATAACAATAAGTGGCAAACGAGCAAGCGGCCACCTGAATCCGCCAAAATGGCGAAGCGACCGCTGCCCATAAACATCTGCAATTGCAGATGCGTTGCCTACCCTTATTCGACAGAGGAGGAGACGCACATAAAGAGGATGTTTGCCCTTTCTATGCATCTCCTTCTCCGTCAAATCCACTTCCTCCTCCCATTCTCTCCTTAAAAAAGAGGGTGGTAAAGAGAAAGGTAGTTAAATTAGGGCTCTCAAACGACAAACGCTTTAAAAGCACTCCTATTTTCGTAGAGTACAGTATGAGTACTCTAAGCAGTACTTTTGAGCCTCACACAGTCTCGTATTGGGGTAAGCCTATTGGTTACTCTGTTTAAGGTGTCTTCTCATGGCAGCTGCCGATGCTGGTCCAGACACCACTCCAGTTGGAGCAGTTCAGCAACATCTCGCGCACTCTCTGTCCACATAACAATATATTCTCGCAGGATGAGGACACTTGCGGTGAGAATGACATGTAATGCAGGTGTAGGGTAGAACGAAAATATTTTTCACCTAACATAGAGATAACATATTTTTATATAATACCTAGTTTATGTTATGCCAGTAAAGTTTAAAATTAGCACTGGTATAGACAATGGCGCCGGTGAATTTTAACAGTCTATGCCAGTTCTACGCTACTGTCCAACTGTCCTGGGTTAATGTAAACTTGGGACTGGCTGGAAAAAGAATTATAAAAAAAGTAACTATTAATGCTTAAATATGACTATATCAAATATCTTCCAAGCTGTTGTAATGTTTTTAAAATATTTGAAAGTAAAAAAAAAACAGTTGGTACAATAGAACCTCGATAACTTCAAAAAATAATATGTTCCCTTCCCATCAGAGCCCAAAACCTCTATAACACAGACCCTTGATAACTTAAAACCTAAAAACTTAAAATATTTTGTGTTTCCCTTGGACTTTAACTTATCGAGTTTCTATTGTAGTTGCCACAGCGAGATTTTGTGAAAGTAATTACGGCAGTCTATAAAAAAACGCTTTACCGTTATCGTAGTTTTGTTTTGTAAAACCAACAATACCTATATTCGTATTTATAAAACATTCCTGATTAGAACAACACTTTTAAGTGCATACGAATATTTTTCAACTTCTCACTATTTGAATAGTTACATAGGTTTCTTTACATTTTATTAGGGTTTAAAAGGATATTAATAAGCGCCAATAGCGTAATGGTTTGGGGTACGGACTACCGATCTTGCGGTCGAGGGTTCGAATCCCGCCATTCGATTGTCGTGAACCATATCCTAGCAAGCCTAGTGGTTAGTTGGAATGGTTAAATGAAATGTTAGTAAATTAACAAAAATCTACTAATATTTTTTTATAAAAAAATATATATTCGAGCTGTTAATATTGTTTTTTGTTTGTCCAATGCCGCTTAGTTAAAGGAGACAGGACGGCCTACTGTCCACACATGATACGTATGATTTGATTATGTTTACACGCGTTTCATACAATTTGCTACATTTTGAACTTTTTATAATACAAATAAAGTCATAAACAAGCAAGCAATAAAGCAAGATTTTATTTATCGTCAATATCGTTTTATCTATACAACATTATAAAGAGGAAAGATATCTATTTTTGTATGTATTGAAATAACTCAAAAACTACTGGGCAGATTTAAAAAATTCGTACATCGTTAGAAAGGTAAATTATCTGTAACATAGGCTACATTTTTTTATTTCACGCGGGCGAAGTCGGGAGCAACAGCTAGTATAAAATAAATCATACTAATATTGAAATGCTAAAGTTTAGATTGATGTTTGTTAGTTTGTAGCCTAAACTGCTGAACGGATTTCGATGAAATTTGACATTTGTAGAGGATAGTCTGGAAGAGGACATAGGCTACTTACTTTTGTTTTTTTTATTCCACGCGGACGGAATCGCGGGCGAAGGCTAGTTAAATATTAAAGTTGAATAAATAATTAAAATATTCCATGATTGTTGTGTACAATATGTGCACCTTTGTAACGTGTGATTTTTATGTTACAATGAACTTAAAACCCTTCAAGATATTTAGATATATGCCAACAAGGATTTTTGACCTAGAGAGCATAAACCAAACTAAATTATAACAGCTGATTCACGATCTGTCAAATGTCACAAAATTCCTTTTTGTAATGATTATCTAAAAGCCTGTGTGGGTTTTACATATTTCTGACTCCGATATCCTTGTTTCTATATACGAATAAAATCCCTTACAATTTTCGTATAACATATTAACGCACCAATTAACAGACTAACAAAGATAATTAATAACATAATTCTTTTATAGATTTATCAACTCTGCCGCCCCCTATCGTACATCTGACGACATCATCACCTGACCCAATCAGCGTAACCATAGTAGTAGAAACAGTGCAAGATTTCTATATAAAATTAAATAAAGAAACATTTTTAAATAGTACACCAAGTCAACCGAAATATTACTTCTACCCTTTTGATCAGGAACCAAATAAAATGGTAGATATAACAACGCAAAGTATTAAAAAGAAATACATGTGTAATGAGGAATTGGATGATTCGGAAAAGAAGAAATTGGACAGATATTTCGTACAGAGTAATATGGAACAAAGTTATGGTTGGTTTTCAAGACCTAAGAGTGTTATTGTTATGATAGAATCTGATGACGATATTTGCGCTGTCGTCTCGATACAAAATATATCGGTGAGTTCATTTTATCTGAATTTTATAGCACACACCAAATTGCATTTTTTATATCAGTAGATTTTTGTTAATTTACTAATATTTCCTTTCACCATTCCAACTCTAGGCTTGCTAGGATATGGTTCACAATAGTCGAATGGCGGGATTCGAACCCTCGACCGCAAGATCGGTAGTCCGTACCATAAACCGTTAGGCTTTTGGAGCCATTTGTCTGATAATCGAATGTGTTCTTAAAATATAGGATTTTATTCCCTTATCTGACAGTGACGTCATTTTTAAGTTATCAGAGACTATCGGCCAGTGGACTGACCCTAAGATAATTTTGATAATTCATATCAGTGTGTCATAATCTTGGAAATCCCCTAACACAGTCGAATTTAACTCGTAATGTTTTAATAGTTTTGTGAGTTGAACTGTTCAGTTAAAACTGGCAGTGTCGCGGTAAATTTTTAACTGATATTAGAACTGTCCAGTTGGCCTCTATACACAGTTTTAAATAATAGTTGAACTGTTCAGTTTTGCACGCATATCATTGACTTCAGTTAAAACTGCTAGAATATGTCTTATGTTACATATGTTTTACAGTGGTAGTGCCCGCTTTAACATCTTAGCACTGCAGGGCACGCCCGGTGTAATACCACTACCACACAGAAGACAGCCGTCAAATGGAAGCAATTCCGTGTTTCGTCTGATGAGTGTGATGCCGGAGGCCTAATTAAAGTCCCTTTCCCTTTACTACCCTTTTCTCATAAGGAGAGGATGGGAATGGGAAGTGGATTTGACGGTGGAGGAGATGCATAGGAAGGGGAAATATCCTCTTTATATGCGTCTCCTCCGTCGTATAAGTGTAGGCAACGCATCTGCAATTGCGGATGTCTATGGGCAGCGGTCGCTTCGCCATTTTGCGGATTCAGGTGGCCGCTTGCTCGTTTGCCACCTTATGTTATAAAAAAAATGTGGGAATAAATGTTTTTTTAATTAAAAGAGATTGTTGTTTTGTTGCTAAACAAGTGTTTTAACAATGAAAACTGGACGTTATTTGAGAATCAATATTACATTGAAGTCTAGGGATTTAGGTATTATTTATATCAGTAAGCTTAATCACATTTCTGGTAGCTTTTAATTATTTTTACGTATTCTCAGTGTCCGGTGTTTGACAACGAAAGAGACATCCTGTATGATGGGTATTATTTGACGATGACGCGACGTGGCGGTATCACATTGACGGTAATTATTAAATTATATATAGACTTTTATAGAATAGAATATAATCATTTTTTCTAGGAATAGTGATCTATGCCAAATTTCATCGATATCCATTCAGCAGTTTAGGTTATAAACTCTAACATCTGTACATCCAGACATTTTACAATATTAGTAAGACTAGCTGTAGCCCACGACTCCGTTCTTGCAGTATTAACAAACTTAAGTAACCTATGTGTTTTTCAAATTACGTCGAAATCGAACAGTCAATGCAAACTTTCGCATTTATAATATTAGTAAGAAGTAAGGTTGATAAATCTAGGTATCAAATTTAGCTTTAAGATATTCCTATTGTCTTCCACATAACTCTTTCATACTCATCTCAGTTTCTCCCTTTATCATGTCACCTTTCACGCAATCCATCCCTTTCTAGGTCTACCTCTAAAATTTGTTTATATTTGTTCTATTTCTCTACACAGCAAGACACGTTCCCGTTAGGTTTCTACATAGTGTTCATAGTGAAGACGTCAGACGCGGACTGCACCGCGGCCACGGGCAATGCCACGCTGCCGCGCATGGCGCGCATGCTCGGCTGGCACCAAACTGACGTCAATGTCACCTCGGCTGACGGCAGACTGAAACAGTTCAAGTTAGTCAAACACTTATCTAAAACTAGCTGTTCCCACGTTTGTCAAAAACTTATTAGAATATGTCAAAATTATCGTTACCAATGACCTTGATTCCGTAATGTTGGCAGCTTGTAATTTATGTATTTCACACAAAGGTATTTTTCAAAATCATTTACCGTCTAAGTTTAATAGCGTTAAAACATATAGCCTAAAGCGTGACGTAAGTGTAGGGCTTTTTAATAAAAAGAGAATTATCCAAAAATATGCTGTAATGGGGATGTTTCCTAATGTTACAAATTCAAATAAAGTTATGTTTAATAATTTAAAGACAGTATTTTAAAACCTATAATAACATTTGGAGACCTTAAATGTTTGTCTCCATTGAAATATAAATTAAAAACGCTGCAATATTTTTTACCCTCCATTACTCTATCTCAAACACCATCAGAGCTCGGTGACGTAGCTTCTTCGCAAACAACATGGCAGTGTGACCAGCTTCAGTGAATGTCAGTGCATTTTGTATTTATAATTTTTTTTAATGATTATAATAATTGAGTTTGCGTGTGTTATATTATGAGGACTCCATTATTAAGTGTTTTTATATTTAAAACATATTTTACGAGCAAATTTTTCGATCATTATGACGAAAAAAAATAGTAAAAATTATTTGAATAGCTAATTTAATTTACGTCTGGTCACTTTGAATGACTTTGACAGACCGCGACGCGAGGTTTGTTAGCAAAGAAAAGACGTCATGTCATGGGGCGTTTTCGCGGTCTTTCGAGAAGTTGGTTTTAGTTAAGTTCTTTTGTAATTAAATGTTGCGTATATGATTTTATTATATTTTTTTTCTTGTTTAGATATAGTTTATCTACATAATAAAAGTAATTCCAAAAATTAGGAAACATCCCCATTGCTGACATATTAAGCAACAAAGAAATGTATTTACGCTTTCTTATAATAGTATAGTTAGATAAAGATTGCTCACGACTTCGTTCACGTGCAATAAAAAATATACGCCTGTTACTCAAGGATAACGTTAAAAGAATTTTTGAAATCGGCCAAGTTATGTTTGATTTATTTATATACATACAAAAATACAAATATTTCCTCTTTATAATATTAGTATAGATTAGAACGCTGCAATTAAAAAAATCACGCGGACGAAGTCGCGAGCAATGACTAGTTTAGATAAAACTAACGGCTTAGTTAACTCATAACGTCATAAAAATACATTTCAAAGTATTTGTTCTCCAGATTCAAGATAATCCAGACGATATCGTACCAAGAATACGTGGTGGCAGCAGTAGCCGCGCTCTGCTTCTTTCTCTCCTTCTACGTGGCATTCCTCATCGCCCTGGTCTTCCAGAGGAACACTCCTGGCTCCACAGTCTCCAGTCAAAGTGAAGGTTAGGATTTTTTCCAACTTAAACACATTTCAGACAGGGTAAATTTGAATTGAATTGTTATTTAAAAGGGGTCCTAAAATCACGAAATTACGAGGTGTATACTAGCTTTGACCAGTGACTATGTCCGCGAGAAATTATAAATCAAAAGTAGCCTCTGTTTTTTTTCTAGATTGTCCTCTACATCTATGCCTTTCATAGAGTTCTTTTCAGTCATTTAGGATATAAACTATAACATCCATCCATCCAAACTTTTGCATTTAAAATGTTAGTAACTGTAATAAGATTACTTTATACTATAACTTAGTCAATACTAACTTAAGGTTCCAAAAAGTTGGATCGTATCGTATCGTAGCTAATAATTAAAAAATAGATATAAGGGGGGGGGGTCTAAAACAACACCAGGTGGGGGTAAAACACTAAAACCGTAATTCGACCAACCCTTAACGCTTATACGTGCCCTTAAATATTGTATTTTCAGAAGGTATATCGACAATAATGCCACGTGGCAGTAAAGAGCCGCTGGCGAGGCGCAGGCGGACTGTGAACACGTCCGACGGCAGCGGCAGCTACCGACAGAATGTGGCCGAAGACGCGCAGCCGATACGCACGGGTGAGCGTTAAATTGAAATTTTCGTCTACCCGCACTTTTTTTCTTGTTTCTGAACTTTTAAACCAGTAATGTATCGTTTTTCAAACTGTATGTAATATTTTGCTACACAACTTTTTATTACAGACTTAAGAATAATGAAGTTGCAAATAAAAGTCTTATAACTTGAACTTAAAACCGTTATTTTGTTATTAAATCTTCATTTACAGCGAGTAAATTAACTAAGTTTTTGTTTATTTCTTTTACAAATAGACCGTAGTTCGAGTTCTGACACAGAATCTGACTTTGATGATACCGCGACAGTGGAGAATGGCGACTACCTTCAAAGTGGTAGATTATGTGTGGCTAATCTTTCTAGGTAAGTTGTATTAATTAATATTTTAGTCTTATATAATCTTATTAAATCTGAAGTGCTTAAATTCTAATAAATTCCTTTGTTGAAATGTTTGATATAAAATTATGATGGGCCTAATATACACCCTTGAGGCACACCTTATGTTACATTTTAAATATAAGTTTAAAGTTTTAAATTCTCATATTCATTATGTGTTATATTAATATAAATGACAAGAGAAACAAATTAAAAATTATTTCCAAGCAGCTAGGTAATCTAACATTGATTATAAAGATAATTCAGTTTGTCAAACGCCATGCATAAATCAACTAACTAAAGTCACTCAAACATAGTAAAATACGCTCAAATTTAATAAAAATTTAATACAATTTTATCCGCTAAACATTTAATTCCAATTATTCAATTAAGTTTACAATTCTTACCCCTATAATTAAAATAAATGGTATTTATGATATTCCTAGATGTCGTCCGCGCGTGCTGTCTGCGCGCTCCAAGATGTATCTCTGGAACGTGCTGACTGTGGCCATCTTCTACACGCTGCCAGTTGTGCAGCTCGTTGTCACATACCAGCGAGTAAGTGACACATTTGTCGCTATAGTGACATAAATACGCCTTGAGAGTTATATCAAATGTCCATATTAATTATATTTAAATGAATTCCCAATGGGTGTAAATTTTATTTTGTGAGGCTTTTTAGTTTATTTTACAATAAAAGATGAAACTTATTGTAATATAAAATGTTTTATAGCATGTCAGTAAGGGTGACACTAAAAAAGCAAAAAAAAATGAGAAGCAAAAGGTTAGAGTGGTATGGACATGTTATGCGACGACAGGAAGGGGACATAAACCAGAAAGTGTTAAGAATGAATGTGGATGGCTACAAAGGTAGAGGAAGACCGAAGAAAGTATGAATGGATTGTGTGAAAGAGGATATGCTTAAAAAAGGAGTGGATTCAGATATACCAGCTGATAGAGATGTATGGAAGAGCAGCACTGTGCCGACCCTCTGTAAGGGATAAGGGCAAATTGATGATGATGAGTAAGTGTGGCACTAAACTTGACTACTAACATAGTACCTTTAAAAAAGTTACCGGTTAAAATATGTTGTTCACTATGTCTAATCTATATATTTCTTAAGTCTTTGGGAGTACATTTAAATATGACGGCTAATAGAGATGAATGGAACACTGTTATGTATGAGGGTAGTTTTAAAAAGTATCGTGTCTTTGAACGAAATTTATTTTCAGTTGTTGAACCAGTCCGGCAACCAGGATCTGTGCTACTTCAACTTTCTGTGCGCTCACCCGCTTCTGGTGCTCTCGGACTTTAACCACGTGTACTCCAACCTGGGCTACGTGCTGCTCGGAGCGCTCTTCCTGCTGCAGGTGTGGCGCCGGCACCAGCAGCACCGCGCTGACACCGCACGAGAGGTACTGACAAACCACTCCACGACACGCCTGCTGTATAACATGACTCGCCCCACTGTGTACATGCCACGCCCCCTGTATAACAAGCCACGCCCATTGTATAATATAACACGCCCACTGTACAACATGACACACCCTGTGTAAAATGTCACGCCCTACTGTATGTTATACCACCCACTTGATGTAGTAGACAAGTGGAGTATGTCATGTAATGACGTGATGTACTTAATTGTAAAACTTGACATATCGCACCGAATAACATGCCACACCCCATGTTTAACGTGCCACGCCCTCTGTTTAACATGCCACGCCCCTCTGTAAACATACCCATTGTATAACTTGACACTTCCCACCACACTCGAAGCCACGACCCCAACATACGCTGTGCCACAAACTACATATATATACCAGTCATAATTTCCAATAAATATGTGATCAAAGTAATGTGTGTGTGCAGAAGGAGATGGGCATCCCGCAGCACTTCGGGCTGCTTTACGCGATGGGCGTGGCGCTGGTGAGCGAGGGCCTGCTCTCCGCCGCCTACCACGTCTGCCCCAACAGCATGAACTTCCAGTTCGGTACGACTTCTGCATCTTATACCCTGACGCCATCACTTTTAACAGGGTGACGTCATCATTTATAGCAGTGTGACGTCAACTCTTCTAACTGTGTGATGTCATGACTTATAACAGTGTCACTACAACTTTTAACGTCGTGACGTCATCACTTATAACAATGTGACGTCACTATAAGTTAGTTATCTACGTCTATCTATACATGTAATAAATTGGAGTGTCTGTTTGTAAAAGCAAAAGAAAAATTATAGATTTCGGGAAGATGGTGTATTACCGTTGCTAATATGAAAATCCCATTTAAATTATTTTTTATTTAAATCTCCAAAAAGACCAATCGAGTCTTTCACTGAATGGTAGCTGATATAGACGGGCATATTATAGGCTACTTTTGTATCTTTATCATGGACGGAGTCGCGGGCAACAGCTAATTGTTTATATTTTTGTATTACAGATACATCGTTCATGTATGTGACGGCGGTGCTGTGCATGGTGAAGATCTACCAGGCGCGACATCCGGATATCAATGCGCGGGCGCACGCCACCTTCGGTGTGCTCGCACTCATCATATTCATAGGTAAAATTATCGTTTTAAACAACAGAGCGTCGGTGGCTCAGTGGTTTGAACACTTGACTTGTAATCTACAGGTCTTGGGTTCGAATCCCGCTGTACCAATGTGATTTTCGATTTTTCGAATTTTCATATGTACATAATTTACCTGACGTTCTTACGGTGAAGAAAAACATCGTGAACCAGCACATATCGGCGAAGAAATTCAAAGATATGTGTGAAGTCAACCAACCCGCACTTGGCCAGCGTGGTTGACTATGGCCTAGTCACCCCTAATTAGGGTAGGCTCCGAGCCCCTCGGTGGGGACGTATAGTGAGCTGGTGATGATGATGATGATGAGCACGCGGCATAAATAAGAAGGTGGATCATAGAAGGAATTTATTTCCCATACTTTCTACGAATCTGCTCCTTCGCCAACCAGGATTGGAAAGGGAAGGGAATCTAAATTAGGGCTCCTGATCGCTTTAAATCTGATAATAGCAGAAATAAGAACAGCATTCAGAATAAAAGAAGGAAGAGTAAGAAAGAAAAATAATGGAGGGGGATGAGATGTCGTTTTCTTATTTCTGTTTATCGACAAGGTACTTCTCTCTATTATTTTTTTCTTTGCAGTCTATCTTTTGGCTTCGTATTATAATTGTTATTTATCTTTTTTTTATTGTTACAATTATCTGTGTTCAGGTCTGGTGGGTGTGCTAAACGCCAACTTCTACTTCTGGGTGGGGTTCACGGTGCTGCACCTCTTCACCTGCCTCGTGATGACCTTCCAGATATACTACCTCGGCAGGTTTAGATTTGGTGAGTTAGGAAGTTAGGGAAAAAATAAAAAAAGGGAGTTTTGTTATTTACCTCGAATTTATATGGAACATTTCCGTGGAGTATAAAAAAATAGGTCGATATTTGTGCCAAGTTTCATTAAAATCTGTCAAGACATTTTAAAAATATTTAGTAATCAATAACTTTCAAATTTATGAAGTAGGATTATTTAAAATCGATATAAAACAATACTATAGTGTAAAAAAAACGATTTTTGGTGGAAACTTTTTCTTTAGTTTACTTTTAGGCTTAGACATTAAAAATGATATAATAAAAAATGTTTACATATTTAAGATCGTATATAGTACATTACCGGTATTTTCTTGCAATAACTAAGCCAGTATTGTATTGTGGGTTAGATTGCGGCGTGTTGTGGCGCGCTGTCCGCGAGGTGGCGCTGCGGCCGCGCGCCGCCGTCACGCCCGCGCGCTGCGGCCGCTGCGTGCTGCTGCTGCTCGCCAACCTCGCCAACTGGGCACTCGCTGCTTACGGGTATGCATAAAGACCGATTTCCATCGACCTTCACTCCAATTTTAGTCCCTTTCCCTTTCCACCCTTTTCTTAAGAGGAAATGATGGGAAGGAAAAGTGGATTTACGGGGGATGAGACGCATAGGAAGGGTAAGTGTCCTCTTTATGTTCGTCTCCTCCGTCAATCAAGGGTAGGCAACGCATCTGCAATTGCAGATTTATGGGCAGCGGTCGCTTTCCATTTCGGTGGATTCAGGTGGCCGCTTGCTCGTTTGCTATCTTGTATTATAAAAAAAAAACGAAATTACAATTTAAATAGCCTATGACATTCCTGCCTATGTTAGCTACTTTCCAATCAAAGGTCTGTTAAAATCGGTCAAACCGTTCAGTAAATAAGGTGGAACAGACGTGCGTAGATATAAAAAAAAATATTTTTTTCACAACACAACCTTGTTTATTAGATAAGCATTATTTTTATTATATACAGTCACCCCATTGTTATATACTTGCCAAAAACATGAAATTATGTATAAAAATGAGTGTAAATGTTGTCTGTTTGTGTAGTGTGGCACAGCACAGTCGTGACTTCGCGTCACACCTGCTGTTGGTGCTGATGAGTAACCTCTTCCTCTACACGCTATTCTACATCGCAATGAAGCTGCTGCACAGGGAGTCTATACGATGGTACAGGTGAGCTATACCGACATTAGTATAATAGTTTTGAAAAATTTAAATAGATGGCGCTATTTTATATTCACAAATACCGACTTCATAAAAAGTTTTACTATTTCAGAAGTAGATGGCGTTGTTAATAAATTTTGTTTTGCTGTTTAAAAGTAGATGGCGTTGCTCGAAGTTAAATTATTATTTTTAAATATCTTCTAGTTGGGTGTTCATCGCGCTGACGTACTCGGTGTGGTTTGGTTCCAGCTACTTCTATCTTGATCTCAGCACCAACTGGGCTGTGAGTATATATTTTAAATCATTTTTTTACACTGAAGTCTAATAAATAAACTTTAGCTGGAAAATTTTAATTAGTTTACCGCATTCCAGCCGTTAATTAATCGCCAAAGAGTTAGCTAAGTTACATTCATGTAAAAAAACTACGTCTTTAGTTATAAAATAAACTAAACAGTCTCACAAATGAAATATAAACATTTAAATATGATTGAGACACCTATTGGGAAAAAAAAACATCTAAATAAGTTATCGTGACTTGGTTTTGAGGACATATCAACAGATGGCGTTAGTAGATCACGAAAAAATTCTCAAGTGAAGTGTCTGCTTCCTTTATATATTTTTTGAATATCTTTGACTACGAGTTTAATAAGTTGTCATTATATGCTTGCAGCTAACTCCAGCGCAGTCTCGTCAGAGCAACCGCGTGTGCTCGCTACTGGAGCTATACGACTCTCACGACGTGTGGCACTTCCTCTCCGCCACCGCCATGTTCTTCTCCTTCAACATGTACCTCACCATCGACGACAACCTCGCACACGTGCCGCGCACTGACATCATGGTCTTCTAACACGTCTACTGGACGGCCATGTGGTCTACACCGCAATGTTGTCTACTAGATGGTATTATGGTCTACTGGGCGGCCACGTGGTCTACTAGATATTGTTATGGTCTACTGAACTGGACGACCTCTTGGTCTATTAGATGCTATTATGGTCTACTAGATAGTGCTATGGTCTATTAGACTGGAACTCGGTCTACTAGAGAGCGGTATGTATACTAAACTGTGCTAAGGTCTAATCGATTATAACAGTATTCTAGACTACTTCATGGTCTAAGACCACAAAATATGAAAATGGTCTAGACTATGCTGTATGAAGACCACGGTCTTTTTGACCACTTTAATTATGGGCATTGGTGAATGGTACAATGATCTCAAAATAAGGCAATTGTTACAAAATGATCCCTTTTTGCTTTTTAATTCCGCGTGCGAGCGGCATCAAAGCGTAACTTTAAGAGTTGGGCACACATTTGACTAAACTATCGCACGACTGTTGTGCAATTATCGATTGTTGTAGCCAATTCGACTGTTTAGTTGCACTAAAAATCGAGTAGTGTATCGTATAAGGTGACAATGACACTAAACAGTTTTGCGATAGTTTAGTCAAAGGCGTAAATATTCTAAAATATATTAACTATATGAGTCGTGATAGTTCTTGAAGCCTTATTAAATAATATAGTTATAGAAATAATTATTGCAGATTTTTAAATAAGAAACTTGAAGCACATGACATTTTCATTACAATTTTTCGTGATATATTTGATTTGGTGCTTTTGTTTTATTTACCAAAATATTGTATTTTTCTCGTTTTTCAAATCGATTTTTCCACACATTTTTAGTTGATATCGATGTTAGTTGAAGTTTTTATGTTCTTTAGCATTTATTAACAAAAAGAATAGATATTTTATCTGTATAAAATAATTGACAATCTAAAATGGTACTCAAAAACTTTATTGTAATATAGTTTTAAATATATTTGAATGTACATAAAGTGATATTAAATAAATCAGAATATAAATATATATGTAGATATTTTATGCGCTAGATTTAGAATTATCCTATAAAATAGTGTATTTGTTGTCACTAAGAGATTTGCGGTTGAAAAGATTTTATTTATAGGTTAGGACAAGGATTTTGTAGTCTAAAATATGTGAACTGACTAATTTTTTGACTATTAAGGGAATGACAGCTGCACAAGGTTATGTTTATTTAATTATTTTGATTTATTGTTAACTTGTATATATCTATGTTTTGTTTTTAAATTCAAAATTTTTGACTAAAAATTCGTATTTCCTTTGTCAATGTCAAAAAATGCTGTAACATCTATGTCGATTTATATTTTATTTAAAAAACTATATTCATTAACGTAAAGATTACACATATGACGTATTTTTTTAGAAATGTTAAATGACATGTTAAATACATGAAAATATTGATTGTGTGATTTGCAGTGTCATTTAATTTTTATTACCAAAGAGTTAGTCTTGAAAATGTATGTAACTTGTGGTTTGCTTACCCATTAGTTATTGACACGAAGTTTAGTGTTTAGTAAATTCATCACATAAAATAAGTTTAATGTTATAAAATTATCGTAATTGTCACTAGAGCACATCTATCTATATTTTATGATAAACGACGCAATCTGTTGGAGAAAAGTTTAACTTTCAAACACAAAGGTCCGTTTCATTCTGATATATGCAAAAATTTTTGTGCGAATGTTTCAGCAGGAATAAGATTGTGTAAATAAAATTGCTTTTTATACAAACATGTTTTTTTTTTTATTTTTACTGACTTGTAGATATTCTACGTTATATTTCATGGCAATCAGAATATACAGGGTTATTGGTTATTCGATACATTCCCACTAGGAGGTGATAATTTGAGATAATTTTGACTATGTGCATTATACAAAAGTTAACCATTTTTAAGTTACCATGATTTTTAGATTTTTTCAAAATAAGTCAAAGATGCAACTTAAAAAAAATATTAAAAAAATTATCAGTTGTAACTTGATTATTTCTTAACATGTAAATCTGTTAAACGCTGATTAAAACTATATAAAAAAATCAATTATCTGTTCAAATTAAAAAATGAGAGCTGACGAACCTTTTTACAATATTTTCGAGATTTCTTAAAACAAAAAATCACAATGTAACTTGGCTGTCAGATTGTTTTAAAACATGTCCGTTTTCTTAACTGTCCAAAACTGCATGACTAGGAACCAGACGATAATTTGTACTCGAAAGTTACGGTAGATTTTGAAAATCACCAGAAATTATCACCTGCTGGTGGGAATAAGTGGAATAACCATAAACCACGTATAGATGTAGTAGGATATGGGTAAATAAAAAAAAAATTAGCTTTGATACATTTTATTGTGTACAATCAGTATAATTGGCCGCTAAACTATTGCAAGCCTCGCCTTAAAGCTCTCTTTTACAATTAAACGGGACTAAGTCTGGTAAAAAAAACAATCAGATCTTTCACTTTCACATATATTGTCATTTTCTTTTGCTAACTTTTTAATCAACGTTAACACCTAAAAGTTTCATTTTTAATTTAAATAACATAACTTGGCTTTATGATATCGCAAAATATGAGGTCTTAACTTTCAAACATAAAAAAGAAAATTAATTTATTTACAAACAGCTAGATTTTAATAATTACATTTTTCTTGTTATTTAAAAAATAAACAATAAATCAACTTTAAAGAGATTTCTTCGACAGAGTCCCGTTTCCGTGCAATTTTATATACTTTACAAAGTTTCGTATAATTATAAATATTTGAAATTTGGAAATAGCATACATTATGTTACATTGTTTCCTACGTAATACGGTTTAAAAATGGTTTGATACATTGCTATACGTTTATTTGGCAGAGTCACAGTCTGTTTATATGGAAAAATAGAGAAAATTTAACTACTTCAAACTGTTCTCTTGGTTAAGAAAAACAAACAATTCGAAACACTCAATATTGGATTTCCATAGACGTCGCGAAATTTACTGCTTTATTTTTAAATTTGAACAAAAAATAATACATAAGCATTACGCATGAGTCGTATATCAACCTATATTTTTAAACAATAAGGGCCTGTCCCACCAAATAGTAAATTGTCTGATAACAATCCAATGTGTAAAATGTGATGGAAATATCGGATTTTATTCCCTTATGACATCGTCATTTTTAAGCTATCTGAGCCTGTATCATCCAGTAGTGGGACAGGCCCTTAGTATTTTACTATTTATTCGTAAACGACGTCTATGGTTTTCCTAACAGCAAAAATCTAATGTCAGTATAAAAAATTACATAGATCAATTCAAATATAATTGTCTTTATTTATTGAAGACAATGTAGCTACAAAGACCAACAAATTAATCTAACTGGTTGACAGAAGTCGAACTAAAATTTGACAGCTCACTAGCGCCAATGTCAAATATTCTTTTCGTACTATAATTATGTGAAATTCTGTAATTTTCTATGTGTAAGTGAATTTTAAAGATTTTTTTAAAGAAACAAACGCGATATCAACGCCTCATCTTGCTAGATATTCTTCTAGAACTAATCAACAAGAAAAGACAATATTATCGGTTAATTCCGTCAATAAATTGTAGGTACATAGATAAAAAATGACATAAAAAGATGGCGCTAGTAAGACAATATAGTTTGACTCATGCCTATCAGGCCAAAGTTGTTGATCTATACATCTATCTGTTGGGTCTAATGATTCGTCTAACAGTAGATTTCCACTGACGAAATGTCTGTAAAAATGCATATTTCCGTCTGACTTTTGTTAGAGATAACATTTTTTTTAATTTGTTTCTTCAGTGAATTTATCAAATTACGCAAAGCAAATGCAATAAAAATGCAATTTTCATATAAATGCAATCGAATCATTTAGACCTCTAACACTACACAGCATATTTAAATATCGCTTACAAAAATAAATGCATATTTAGTTTTTACATATGGCAATACACGATTTTGTATCTTTAAGGATTTAATTAGGGAAATTTCCATTAGACGTAGAATTAAGAATGAATTTAGAATTATGCATGAAATATGCAGTATTTATAAAAGCTGACTTGTGTACTCTTTGTATATCGTATATGACGTAATCTGGCTTAGGTATCATATTTTGTGGTCGAGTAGTAATTTAACTAGACAGAGAAAGCAACTATATTTTCGTTGAATTAAAGAGTAAAATATTTTTTGTCAAATTCACTGTTTTATGTACATTCTGTCAAAATCGAAGATGTTTATTTGCATTGAAAATTCCGTCAGCAAAAATTACGAGATTCTTAACAGAGGTACAGTCAACAAAACATGCAAGTACAAACTTAATATAAATAATACTACTTTTCTGTGAGGGATTAATTATCGGTAGAATAACAAATAAGTTAAAATAACAACTCACATGACAACCAAAACTGCTCGCTTGTCGAAAAACCGCGGGGTGTTACCATTTAGGCCTAATTCACACCAAACTAGTAATTTAGTAGAGTAGGTAGTAAAGTAATCTAAATGTGTCTGAACACCATAAATTTAATCAAATGAATTAGCAAATAATTTAGAAGATTTTTAGATACCAAATCACTATTTGACTGAATTACTAGCCTAATGCAAACCAGGCATTACGCCTAGAAAAATTTCAGTGGGTTTTTATTGCGATAATAAAAAAAAAACGCTTGAAACCTTTAGACTTGCATGAAACTAGAAATTCGCTTAAAAGTATCAGATTTTTTAGAGTTTATTGTAGTCAAAATTATTTCAAACAGTCGACAAGCAAATAATATTTACAAATAGTGAACGCGCCTATTTACCTAAGCTAAGTGCTAACGCATATATTTCCTATTTACATTGTAACTACATACCGCAAATCAGATATAACAAAAACTCAATGACTTACCAAACGTTCGACTTCCATTCTAGAAATTTCTCTAATATTGTAGAATATTCTAGAAATTTCTCTAACATTGTAGAATATTCTAGAAATTTCCACAACATTGTAGAATATTCTAGAAATTTCCACAACATTGTAGAATATTCTAGAAATTTCCACAACATTATAGAATATTCTAGAAATTTCCACAACATTGTAGAACATTCTAGAAATTTCTATAACATTGTAGAGTATTCTAGGATTTCCATAATGTAGAATATTCTATCTTATGGGCGTCGCCAACCTATAATCTAGGCTAGATCTTAGGGAGAGGGGTAGCTACCATTAATATGGTTTAAATCGAAGTTTTTTTTTTAATATTTTGTACATTTATAGAGGGGTAGCTAGCCCCATACCCGGCGACGCCTGTCTCGTATTAGGCCCGTATAAAAATGTTTCATTAACAATATAAAATAATTAAAATCTATAACAAGACTAAAAGCCGTTATCCATAGATATATCATCTATAGATAGTGTTTCTTTTAAATATTGAGGGAATTTTCCCCAATACAGTTGAGGCATTTTACGCCCCATTTTGCTTCATATTACGTATATTAGACAATACATCTATAGATTACATATCTATGCTTTAACTACATATTTGAACACGATAAATTTAGCTATTAAGGCGTCCAATTTTAATATTAACAAGAGAAAAATGTATTATGCTTAAATTTAATCGAATTTATTTTCATCACCACAATTTTGTGGAAGACATCGAAATAGTTACAAAATACTTCATATATTATTTTGCGCTTAAAAGCAATAGCAATAGAGTCGAATATCCAAATGATCGGTTACAAATTCCTTTACATTGAATACGTTGTATAGTCCGCCAGACTTATTTGACCCGGTAAGCATGACAATAAATTACAAACTCACTAGCAACTGTTAATGTCAAACTGTCAACTGTCAAATCCTTGTTATACAGTACTGTCAGAAAATCTTTTTGACAGTAATACCCGCAATAACACAGTTACCGGGCCAAGTTTAATATAGAATACTATATATATGAAGTCTGCAAGCGTAATTATCGCTTTGAAGCATTCACAACGTAACTAGAAATATCAAAACATATAAAAAGTTTATATGAAAATCGAGCTAATTTGAAACCTGTAAGTTGGTCCCAACAGTAAACTCGAAAATCGAATAAACCTAGTGTCTGACGTCACATTTCACTAATGCTATCTCTGTTTTGTATAGTGAGAGAGACAACGATATGTTGCGTTACTCGTTTTTATAGATAATGCGAGATATTTCTAGCTACGTGTTCCAAGTTTAGATACGCTATATTTGTTATATTTCTGTCAACCGTTGCTGTTGTGTGATTTCTGTTCGAATAATGCGGCCATATCACGTATGTTGAAAGATGGAGACATTTTTTCTTTCCTGCAAAAATATTTAAATGATTGTTTATGGGGTTTAATTAGATATGGATTCGTCTATGACTTTTCAATCTAAAATTATAGAAAATCTATTCAAAGCTATCTATTTAAATAAATGTATCAACTAAGGGAATTATAAATGTGATAAATAAAATTGAAAATTGGATAACAAAAAGGTTGCAAGATGCATCTATGATTTGTTATTTGTTAAACACACAAAGTGGTTATTTTTTACTTTTAGATGAAAGATAAGTCAAAAAAGGTAAAAGACGCACACAACCAGATAAAAACGTACCTTTCTTCTCGACGGGCGTCTCTTTTACTATCTTCTTGTCTAGAAAATTCTAGGTTAGTGTCTAATTCTCGTATTGGACTTTCAGGTGATTGTATGGTGTCCAAATTGTTACTGCTCTTTGCTAAGGAGAACCTCATTCTTTGTCCGAGATCCACAGTATTCCTGCGTTCAAATTTCGGCAAATCATCTTGCAGTCTTTCGCATAATTCCGTTCTTTCTTCTGGATCCTTCTTTATTTTGATTCTAGTTAATTGTTCCGGGTTACTTCGGAATGATTGCGAACTGTACTTTTCACGTAAGAAGTTTCTACGTTCCTCTTTGTATTTCTCTATCCTTTCCCTGCTCAAGTTCTTTTCCGTTTCTATGCCAATGAGATTCTTTAAATCCGGTTTCTTTAATTCAAATCTTTGTACTATCGATATCTTGTTCTCTGTGGTCGGTGTTATGCTGTCGGGTTTTGTCTCTGCTTCCGTATTGAGATTTAAATCTGGTAAATTATTCGTCTTGGAAGCTTCTTTTACTTCTAGACTCTTCCGTCTGTCGTTCGTTTCATTACCAAATTCTTTTATAAATGCATTCTCGTCTAACGAACGTGCAGAATTCTTAGATAGTTTGTACGTTTTTGGTGAAACTGGCGGAGGCAATTTGACTGTGACCTCTTTCTTTCTGGTTTCGCATTTATCATCGTCTTTCCGTTCCAAGCTCGGATATTTGATTTCAGTTTTAAATTTATCGAACGTAAAAGGTCCTTTCTGTTCCGTTGGACTTTCAAAACGTATGGCTAACTCTCGTACGTTGAGATTCTTTGACATAGTTTTCTGTTTAACAACATTCCCGTTGTCGCATTCGAAACTTTCATTTTCTTGTTCAGCTCTATGTTCGTTGACTTCGCTTATATCTACTTTATCACAGATTTTGAGAGTATCCACATTAATATTTTCATACTCCGTATCCCTCGATTCTATAAACACTACGTTTTCGTAATGTCTTTTATCAGGTGCCTCCATAATTATAGCATTCGCTTCCTCGTGAGTATCCTTTTCGGGAGACTCTAGAATCATAGCGTTGACTTCTTCTATGCTTTTCCTGAAGAATTTGACCTGACTGTAGACATCGACGTTGTCTTCAATGCATGTGTTTTCAGTCGGGGTTTCCAGGATGATCAGGTCCTCGCAGTCCGGCTGGCAGGCCTGCTGCGTGGGCAGGCTGGCGTCAGTCTCCGGCACAGGAGCCTCTTCCACTATAGACAAGTTCTTCTCCAAGTCTATATCCTCGTATACGGAATCTCTATCATTAGTCGGCGTGTCTATATTGTCTATTGGCTCATAGTCCGAGGCTTTCGACTTTGTGGGTGAGCGGAATGTGATGCTGATAGTGGATTTGAGCGGACTCTTGAGGGGGGATCCGGGGGAGCTCTTTGAGGTGCTGGAGGATTGAAGGTTGATATAGTTGGGTCGGGAGAAGTTGAAGCACTCGTAGAGGTCGTCTTGGGGTCGCGGGAGACTGGCGTTGGAGTAGCTGGAGGAGGAGTCGTGGGATGACGTCATCACCTTGAGGGCATCGTGGTCTCGTCTCCTGTCAGTGTGGTCGGAGTTGGAGGAGGCGGAGAGCGCGGACAGTCGGTTGAGGTTGTGGTAGCTGATGTCTGCGGAGTGCGGGGAGTGTGGGGAGTGCGCGGAGTGTGGGGAGTGCGCGGAGTGCGCGGGGCTGGGCTGCGTGCCCTCCGAATGTTCGTGGTTAAGGCGCATGTTCTCGTAGTCGGTGGCCTTCAGTTCACACTTGAGGCACTTCTCGTGTCCGCAACTCTCGCACTCCACAGTTTTGATCTGTATGGTGTGTCTGTCGCTGAGCTCGGAGTCGCTCTCCAGCGGGTCGTAGAGCGGAGTGACGGGGGTCAGGGGGCTGGAGTTGATGGTGCTGGTGGTGAGGTTGCTGACGGAGTTCTCCAGGGGCCAATCGATCTTTATGAGCGTGGAATGCCCGTCTTTCCCGTGCCACGTGAGGCGGGAGGTGTCAGGGTCTGCAAGGACAGGGTGGTGGAGGCCGCTGTAGCGAGACGCGGCCTTACATTTCCGCGGCGAGTTCCGTTCTCTGCAAGCGTCATGAGTTTGAGGGTCGGCAGGTACGCAACTAGGAATGCTTTAACATTTATGTGTACTTTCAAACGAGCATGCTCTCGAACAGAAAAAAAAAACAAATATTAGTATGAAATTTTGAGAAACTAATTTTTTGAGTCGATAGATGTGAGGCCATCGAATGAAAGTGATGATTGTTAAACAAAAGCCAATTAGTTTTACTTCAAGATCACACAAACTATTTGAAACATCAATTCATAAAATTAAAAACAAAATTATTGTATCCAAATGTGTTGAAACTGTTTTTTTTTTATTCGATCTTTTTAACATGACCATTTCAATATTTGAATAATAGCTTACTTTACTACGACTAAGGCAATATTTATTACATTAAGAGAAAATTGAGTTTACATTTTAATTATCTATACAAATACTGTAGAGGAAAGATGTCCATTTTTGTATGTATTGGTATAATTAAAAAACTACGGACCCGATTTAAAAAAGTTCTTTCACAATTTAAAACCTACGTTATCACTGAGTAACATAGACTTTGTTTAATTTCACGCGGACAAAGTCCCGAGCTAGTATAAATACAATAAAATTTATAAATATCAGAATAAAATCTATACAAAACTAATCTATCAGACTATAATGTCTATACATTTAAGGGGACAAATAAAAAGAAAGGGTTTCTATATGTAATGTAATGACAGAGAAATGCATAGATGTTACGTATAAATGCAGAGTTTTACCTGAGCTTCACGCTGCCCGGGGACTGGAACTCGGCCACCGATGACAGCGGACTGTCTCTGTCCTTGCAGATTCTGTACATATAGTATTTATGTTCAACTTATATGTTTTCAATACATTTTGATATTAATTTCTTTACAAAAAACTCATATTTTAATTTTAGCATGTACATAAAAAGCTTTTTTGTGTAATACTTTAAAACATTACTTTGATTAGTTGCTAATTGTTAATATTATAGTTTTGATAGAAAAATGCCTGAATATTGAAACGAATTATGAAGTTTTCGGTTAGTAGGCATTGCGTATAATATCAAGATTTTAATACAATTTCATGTTTAAGCGTGAATTAAGTAACATATCTATGTAAATTTCGTTTCAGTATCGGGCCGAAGATATTTTAAACGAAAAGCTTTTAGTAATATCAGTTTTAGCTATCTTTTTAGTTATTTAAATATATCGATAGTGGTAGTAGTGGTGTGTATTGTACCTCTTAGCGGGATCGGGGTCGGCAGTGCCGTGCCTCTTCTCCGGCGCGGGCTTGGCGCGCGGGGACTCGCCGTCGATGTACCCCATCTGCGCAACCTGCTCCTCCATCGCAGCGAGACGTCTGAAAATGCCAACAATTAATAATTTTTAATATTATATTTTCTCTCTTCATATGTGCGTCGGTTCCTTAACCTTAATAATACAAATATTTCCTGTCTATATTAGATTAGATATTAACTCCGTCGAAGTGAAATGAATAAAAAAAATGTATTCAATGTGGTTGTCAAAACGTCTATGTAAACTTTTTAATAGCAAGTCTACTTTGTAGTATAACATGCCAGTACATTTTATACTTTGATGTCCGTAAATTTGCAATTTTAACAATATTCATAAAAAAATCTAAGCAATAAATATATCGACACTTTAATTTATTTTATAGCAGATCTTTGAACACATAAATATCATATAAATGTTTTAAAGTACCTCTCAGCGAGGTCAGTGGCGGCGTGCACGTCCACTCGCAGCGCGCGGCGCGGGCTGGCGGCCGCGCTGCACGGACCCGAGTCCGCAGGTGTCGACCACGCTGACTCCTGTAACATAACAATAAATATGATAATTTACAATATTATCACTTAACAGCAATGAAAGGAGATACTCGTATAGACTATCAAGTGTGTGTGGTTCTGTGTGGTCACGGAAACTTGCCGTGTACCAATTAAAAAGTCGCATAGTTTTTTGTAGCGAAACAAACTCTGCTTCTAACAAATAATCAACAAGGAAGCAGTAAGAAAACGACGGGATATTAATAATAATCTATTATCCGTCTAACACTTAACAATATTTTTATACAGACAAAATTAAAAGTTATGTCCTATTGATTATTGTTTAGAGTCCAATGCGTACAAACAACTGTAGCTATTGAACCAAACCGCCAGTTTCCATGACTGTACTTATGCGGGTAAGTACATGTGCGTGACGTAACGGTACATACGTTGTACGTTCGTATACCTATACGTACGTGTGTTGCGTGTATATGTTGGTAGCGTTTACGTGTGCTTTATATGTACGTACGTGTGCGTTAGATGTACGTACGTGTGCGTTAGATGTACGTACGTGTGCGTTAGATGTACGTACGTGTGCGTTAGATGTACGTACGTGTGCGTAATATGTATGTTCATTTGCTTTATATGTTCGTGTACGTATGCATGCGTGTACGTGCAGGTACCTGTGCGTTCTGATGGTGCAGATGCGTGTCGTCCTCCTCACTGAACATATGTCTGTCTCGCTCCTGCGGCGATAGACGCAGCCGCATGTGCGCCAGCTCCGCCTGCCACGGCTCGAAGTACGAGTCGCACGACGACGATCTGTATCCCACACACGTGTTACTTGGCACGCCGATAACAAGAGTACTCTACTACACGACGTGCCAACTTAAACATGAGACCATATAGGTCATAAACAACTCTTGAAATCTACATTATAAAGAACACAGATTTTTTTTCTATATTAGAATAATTAAAAACACAACACTGGACACATTGTAAAAATTCTTAAATGATAGGTAATAAATAAATACCTGGTGTGATGTTTGAGCGGCGCGCTGGCGCGGTCTGCGAGCGGCGGCAGCGTGTCGGTGTCCGAAGCCAGCGACTCGCACGACTTGACTGGCCGCAGGGTGCCCGACATCACCACGTCTACTGACACCTGGACAAATTGAATGATATCACTCATGAATGAACGAATTAATGAAAAATAAAGTCCTACAGCTAAACAAAATACGAAGTGAACGGCTAGGTTATGGTTCACACTGGACCGGTGCAGTTGGACTCAATGGCGTCAGTTAGTATTCACATGTCAGTTAATGCCAGTCCAGTTGAGTACTGTCCAACTGTACCAAATATGAACAAGGCCTAAAGGAATAGTTTGTAAATGAATATGTTTTATGTAATATAAAGTGATTTGTGGGCGTTTACCTGCTGTGTGGGGGGCGGCAGCGGCGCGGGGGGCGGGCCCTGCGGCGGCGCACGCGCTCGCTGCAGCTTGCTGCGCCAGAACAGACCGCGCCAGCCTGATGGAGACCGCTTCAGACCACGTTTACCACCTGCAATGTAAGAAAACAACATTTAAACACGCTAATAAATAATATGAACTAGGAAAATCATGTTAAAATAGCTGTCGGTCGCGACTAATTCTACTACTATTAGACAACTTATTTAATTGATACTGTCGCTTTTAACTCAGAGCAATGCTTCTCGTCAAGACTCAAGTTACCCGCCAATCTATCCATACTTTTAGTGACATTGACAGCTGTCAGCTAGGGATGTGACGTTTATGCCTATAATCTAGAGTTGCGCCAATTCTATAGCACGGTACTAATTTTATTCCTAACACTACTAACTTAACAAACATCCATCCTTGAAAACTTTCATAACGTTTACAATGTAAAAAGTAAGATAAATATACAAATAAGTAAGTAGTTTGTAATAAACATACCTGACAATGGAAGGTCCAATACGGTATGGTATTGGGGAAGATTGTTTGGCCCAGAGCCGACCTGCAAAATGCATAATCTTTAATATGATTGCAATTACAATATATAAGTAAAAGAAAGTTGGTCCTTCGAGCAGGATACATACCTCGATGTACTTAGGTTTGAGATGTCCCGCGGGGCGCAGCTGGCGGTCCTGCGCGGGCGAGGCGGCGGGCGCAGCGGCGGCGGCGGCGATGGCGCCCGAAGCCGGCGGCGCGCTGGGCCCGGCGCCGGCGCCCAGCCCTCGCCGCCGCGCCTCCTCCAAGCTCAGCAGCTTGGTGGGAGGGTTCAGAGGCAGGCTTTTAGGTCGGCGGCAGGATTCAGTGCCGCGGAGTTCCACTTGCGACTCGCAACGATCCTAAAAAAATCATATAACAAAACTTTTATAACAGGTTTTCTTATTTAAACGGTGAAAAAGGGTAGATTTTAAGTTTTCTAATACCTGTTCTAATGAATCAGGTCCGGAGTCAGCTCCCTGGTCTTGCGCGAACAGGTCCTCGGCGTAGCAGATCAGGAACTCTGTTACCACGGCCTGTACCGACATTTGCAATATAAGTGTTGTGATCTTTGGCTTGAAATACAATATAACTATTTTGTATCAGATCCTTAAATTAAATTGAGAACAGAGAACAAACAGCAAGGTCAGGCGGAAAAAGAGAAGACAGCTAAACGGAAGGATCATAGATTGAACATTTACTTTAAGGTTTGGAATATTTGTGCGTTCGGAATATTGCCAACCGTTACCCCGCTCTGTGCCCTAGGCAACAGATGAGAATAAAAAGTACCATCCGTCCCAACTATCCTACAAGGGGACAGTTGGAACTTATTTCTTAACTTATATGTTACCTTATCGGTGATAGGACTAAAAGGTGGATCGGATGAAACTTATTCTCACCTGTCCCCGCGTTGCGACAGTGTGACGGTTGGGAATAACGTGCGTCCAATGTTATATGTACCTGTACGGCGACGCCCTGCAGCGCGTGCTGCGGCGCGGGGGAGCGCAGCAGGTTGGGCGCCCACACGATGGCCATGTTGCGCGCCGTCATGCCGGTCGCCGCGCTCAGCAGCGACACGCGCCGCAAGTGACGCATTAAATACGACAGCGTTCTAAAAACATACAAATAAACATCATAAAACAATCTTAGGACGCCATGTTTTTTCTGTCAAATCAATCCTGTTGTAAAATATAAGCAATGTTACTTAATGATATTGTAATTTTTTGACAAAAGAATTTTTGGAATCGATCCAATAGTTTTGGGACCAATTCCTTATTAATCCTTAATACACTGCCTTTTTTATATATCATAAGGTAGCAAACGAACAATCGGCCACCTGAATCACTACATCTGACATCACACATCACACATCACTATCATCTGAGCCGCGGGTGGGCTCGAACCTGGTCCAGTAATTTTGATGGCATTTGTACATAGACATTTGCAATTAAGTTAAAGACGTCTCATTGCAAGGTCTAAGGTGACTCTGTAAGTGTAGCAGCGCTAGTTCTAGGGTACCTGTAGTGCGGCGGCGGCAGCTTGACGACGGTGTCCCGCATGGCGCGCAGCCGGCCCGCCTCCTCCGGCTGCTGCACCGCGCTCACGAAGCTCTCGTACAGCTGGTACGTGCACAGCGGGTTGGGCAGCTCCCTACAATAACATACAATGTTACTATATCACAAACGGTTGCTCGCGACTTCGCACACGTTTAATCTAACTAATATTATAAATGAGTTTAGATGGATGGACGGATGTTTGTTTGAGTTTGTAGCCTAAACTGAAAGGAGTTGAATGGCATTTAATACATATCAATGAGTTCGGAAGAAGACATAGGTAAATTACTTTTGTGTCTTACGGAGTCGCAGGCAATAATTAATATAAACATTAAAAGGGATTTTAAAAGTGTGTATTACCGGAAATACATCTTGAGTAGACTGGCGAGCGCGTGCGGGTCGCGCTGCAGCGGCGGCGCGAGGTCCGGCGGCGCGTCCCCCGCCGCGTCGAAGGCGGCCCGCAGGCGCTGCGTCAGCGCCGCGCCGCCCGACAGCCGGTAGATGCCGTCCACCGCGCCGCGCCGCTCGATGGCGCGCGCGCACTCCGCCAGCACGCACGGCACTGCACACAAACAAACAAATTCATCATACTAATACTATAAACTAGCTAACGCCCGCGACTACGTCTGCTCACTAGCTCACTATACGTCCCCACTAAGGGACTCGGAGCCCGCCCTAAGTTAGGGTGGCTAGGCCATAGTCAACCACGCTGGCCCACTGCGGGTTGATTTTACACATATCTTTGAATTTCTTCGCCGATGTGTGCAGGCATCACGATGTTTTCCTTCACCGTAAGAACGTCGGGTAAATTATGTACATATGAAAATTCCAAAATCACATTGGTACAGCGGGATTCGAACCCAAGACCTGTAGATAAATATAGAATCTAATTTGAAAGAATACTTAATCTACATATTTTGTATTTCAATTTCACGCAGATAGAGTCGCAGGCGAAACTTAGTTAATTCACAAGAAAAGGTATTCGGCATATGAATCATAACAAAATACGACCTGTCTGCAATATCGAAGAAAAATCCATATTTTGTGAGCGATGTATTTTCATTAATAATATTGAAAATTGTTAAAAATCTTTGGAACGGGAAGACCAATTTAAACTGGACTTTGAAAGGAAGATAGCTAAAATATACAAGAATGGTATAGACATATATTTTTAAGCTATTAAGTGTGTATTCACCATCATGTCCGCAGTTAAGTAGGTGTTCTCCGAGGTCGCAGCCGAAGACGCGCTCCTTGAGGATGCCCTGCTGCTTGAGGCTGCGGCGCGAGGGTCGCGACAGGATGAAGCTGCGGAACAGCGAGATCAGCTTGCCGTGCTTGCGGAGGACTGGCTTGATGGGAGCCATCGCCACTGACCTGCCACGTCACTATACTTATAGACAAACTCAACAAACGAAACGTCATTAAATTCAATCAAAAACACTAACAAATCTTCAACTATTAAATATTTCATCTATTTTCATATTATATTAATATTTAAGGTTTATTACCTAATTCACTCAAATATCCGACTCGAAGGACCATTTATGTAACGACATCTTACTAATAATACATCTATCCAAACATGTAGATGGATGCGTGTTTGTTAGAGTTTGTAACCTAAACTGCTGAACGGATCTCGATGATTTTTGGCATAGATGTATAGGCAAATTTAAAGAACCCATAGGCTAATTACTTATGTTTTTAATTCCACGCAAACAGAGCCGCGGGCAAAAGCTAGATTTAAATAATTGACTAGTTAAACAAATAATACTATTGTAAATGTAATACGAAAGATATACAGAGCTTAGAGTGCAATTAACAGCTCTACCCCTAGACAAAGTGACTTTCGATTATCGATATCGATAATAAAATCGACAAAATGTTTCAAACGTATACGTGACTTATCAAATATTATTGTCACTTCTATAGGCTTTTGACGTTACTTTGTCTAATGAGGTGTATATTGGCTGTTTTTATAAAGTGTTCTCACCCGACGATAGGCGGCGGCTGCGTCATATGCCTGGGCACCTTGTCCCCGATGACGGCGACGCAGTGCCGCGGGAAGAAGCCGACGCGGAAGCCGCGCTTGCCGCGCCACCACACCGACTCCTGCGGCCCTGCCACACCACACACATCACTATGACCCTTTTTTTGCCCGAGGGGAATGCATCTTATGCATACTCCGCGCCTAGAGGGACGCGGTAGTTATGTGGGACTCTCCCCCCATATTGGGGGGCTTACCCACTAAACCACTCGGTTCCTCCAACGCTTTAGGCTGGGGCCACGGGGACGCTTACGTCCTTGAACATCATTATGACCATAGCTAATCCCCCTCCCCCTACCTGCATACCATAAAATTGGGACATCAATCAAACTTGGTAGGCAATGGACTAATTTATTTTAAGGTTACCCACAATTCGGTAGCGTTAATACCTTACAAAAATCAGTATGAACTATATTAATTTTTAAAATCCGAGATAAATTGTAATTTTTGTTTCAGAGAACATTTGCAGCCAGATGTCTAATATCTATCAGTTTGCGACGTCACATGGAATCCTCTTTTTAGAACGTGATAATAAAACTCTCAAATATAGTATTTCTTGAGTTTTTTTTGAAAATTTCATTACCTTTTGTCTTAAAGTCGATTTACATTAAGAAATTTTTGTTACTTTGGTGAAACAAAGACTTGAATTTTCATTTTTTCACACAGAATTTAAGACAATTTAAAAAATCAAGTTTAAATTAATAGCAAAAGATATCTTACCGGGCATATCGATAATGGATATCATATCGCCCACCTCGAAGCTGATTTCATCGCGGGCCTGCAAAAAAATCATATAATCAACCCAAATAACAAATACATTCATATTAAAAACTAGCTTTAGGGGAATAAAAAAAGGCAAGTAGCATATGTGTTCTTCCAGACTATCCTCTACATCTATGCCAAATTTTATCGAAAACCATTCAGCGGTTTAGCTACAAACTCTAACAAACATCCATCCATCCAAACTTTCGCATTTATAATATTAGTATGAAGTATGGTTGTAATATTAACCTGTGACACATATTTCCTCACAGAGTAAGCGGCGGCGACTGCGGGCGTGTTTATGGAGCTGGAGTCTTCATTGGCTACCAGTAACTTATGGCCTGGGGATACAAAATATACATTACTAGCTGTTCCCGTGCGGCTTCATCCGGAATTATAAAAACTTTATTTTTATATTAACAATAACCACATTTTATAAGCTAAATAGGCGTAAACGAGACAACTGACCCTTGTTATCCATCTGCAGCCAGTTAAGTACTGGCCCGCAGTTGATGGAGTCATCCGCGATGATGGACAGGTGGTGCACGTAGTCTCCAATCAGCTGCTGGTAGCGCGCCTCCTCGCAACCCACCACCACCTCCTCCGAAAGGTTCGGCAGACCAGACACCTTACGGTCGTAGATGCATCTGAGAGACAACTACCTTCTTGTAGTACCTTTGTTCACTACTCTATGTCGTAACCAAAGACATTTAAGAAACATAGACTAGACAGGGAAACTTTTTCACTGGTAACTCCTTTAAAAGGTACTATGTTAGTTGTCAAGTTTGATGCCACCTCATGTCCTTGTATTGACATGTTATAAAACATTTTACAGCATTATAATACTGTATCTTTTGTTATAAAATATACTAAACATAGTCACAAAATAAAACATACATTTAAAGACATCTATTGGCAATTAAATTCAATACAATTAGTGTTTTTTTATTAATTATATTGACATGTGGTTCTGAGGACTTGTCAATAGATATCGTTAGTGGATCGAGTGAAAAATGCATAAAGTGAAGCGTCAACTATGCTTCCTCTGTACATTTTTTAATCTCTTTGAATACTTTATGTCATAACATTATTGCCAGGTTACAGTGCGAATAACTGACTCGGTGACATCAAATCGCACCTGTGCAGCATATCGTCCAGCTGGAGGAAGTTGTCCCTGCTGCGTGTGAGGGTCCACTCGCTGCAGCCGGCGGGCTCGCTCCAGCCGTGCTGCTCGCCCGCTCCCCCAGCTCCGCCTGCGCCAGCACTCACCACGCTCTCCTGCTCGCCGCCGCTCACGTGCGACCGCACACGGAGGCATATCCAACCTGAAACGACCAACAAACATTGTATAGAACAATTATTCATCAATTGCAAGAAATTTAAATATCATCAGCCTTTATCTGTCCACTGATAGACATAGGCCGTCCCTAATGCCTAACATAAACGTTTCTTTTAAAATATGACCATCTCGTATTATACTAAACAGTTTCTTATTTTGGTCCTTTGAGTCGGATAAATTAAATTTTTCACCTTCATATTATAAATTCCAATATTTCGAAGCTAATTATTGATAAAGTTTATAATGAACAATAAAACACTTTCATAAACAGCTATAGTAATAAAATAGGGAAACATTTGCATACCGTCGCTTGGGTCGTTATCCTCGCACTGCTCCTCGCATGGCACTGTCTGTATACTGAGGCCGCCGAGAGACACACGCTCGTAGTGGAAGTGCGCGCATTCCTCTAACTTGGGGAACCGACACGACGGCACCGGCGGGGGACTCTGTTACAAACATCACATCTATACAATAAAGTAAGACAAAGAACAAGGACAGTATCATCATCTCCCCTACCTTATCCTACTCCTGTAGGGCCTCGGGTTTTCGTTCTCCAAATAACTTTATCATCCGTCATCTCAGTCACTCCCTTGATCATGTCGCCTTTTACGCAATCCATCCATCTCTTTCTAGGTCTACCTTTAGCGATGTACCACACTCAAAACTAACGTCCTTGTTACAACATGCCTCTACCGTACTAGCACAACACAGTATCTAATTATGTTAAAGACATTGCTAACCTCATCGTGAAGATCAAAGGAGATGGAAGGCGGCGGCGCAGACTGACTCATAGCGACGGCGGCCGGCAGCGGCGACATACCCATCGCCGACACCGACATGCCTGCAACACAAATAGGTAAATTATCGCTAATTGCAAAACTACGTATCATAGAGTGTCTAGAAAGCAATACAAACCCGATGTGTCTCGCTTGTCCGTATCATTGGAGACGCGCGTCGAACTGCGTGACTCTGAACTGAAGCGAACCGATCTGAAAATAAATAACAAAACATTTGAGTTTTTTCTAATAAAATACGACTTACAATACTCTATTACATTAATGAGCGGTTTCCGAACTACTTTTAACCATTCGATAGTGCTTATGGTTAGATAACTTTATAAAATGCGTTTCGAAGTACGTAACTTGATTTTTACTCCGTTAAAACATAGATCAACCTAACACCGACGAATCACTATGTATTGAAAAATAAATGGGAACTTCAGAAACCCAGTATAAGTGCTTTGCAATGCAAATATTGTACTTTAGTACTAAACTTAGTTAAAAACGCAGATAGGACAGTTCCATATGGCATATGTTTGTTGGTTGAAGTTATTACCTGTGGAAGGCTCCGCACTGCGCGGGGTCCTTGTCGGGCTCGGCGAAGGCGCGCGCCGCCAGCGACTGGCACGACATCACCGAGCCGTGCGGCGAGCCCTGGCAACACAGTTACACAAAACCTTCATTACACAAACAAGTTAATATATCTTGAAATATACACTTTTTATAATTCTTTTATTGGTTCAATTGACTGTCGTAATTAACAAACATTACAAAAATAAGCTCTCTAGTTCTCTTAGCCTCTGAGCTCTTGCTAGTTAAAGGTCCAACCGTAATAAGCAATCCATCAACACAGTTTAATAAAAGCAAGGATCTTGTAACATTAGCAATTAAAATCCCTAAGTTGGAACAAAGACCACTTGATGCGGTCCTATCAGGCGTGTGCCGGCGAATAAGAGCCGTCAAGTGCACACCACTAACGAACCCCATTTCTTTTCACGAGGACCACTCGACAGGACCACTTCGATCGGTGCATTGATTGTTCCGGGACAATAAGCGCTATTTACTTAGTTCGCCGCTTTATTTTAATTAATTTTACTATAGATTTATCTACTTGTTAATTGATCAATTAAAGAAATGAAATCAGGAAGGACCATAATTATTTAAAAGTATATCAGCGACCATAGAATTTCTTTATAGGATATAGTATATTTACGGTCTAGAGTTCTAGGCTATATCTTACGATGCATAGATGTGTAATTCCAGTAATTATTCATGTACAAAACGAGACCTAAATAACGTCATAAATGCGTTTATAAATCAAAAGGACCACAGTTCGATTAATTCGAAATAATGTTTTAACAACTTAGACATAACATAAATCTATAACATATGTGTATAAAATTCTTTCTAAATGACGTCATAAAATTATATTTATATACTCTGAAGACATAACAGGATATCAAGTTACGTCCTACGATACGTCGGTGCGTTTTACGATCTCTATACAACGCACCCATATTCTGTCATAGATAGAGTTAACCCATTTCCTTTAGATTTACGGGACGTAATAAACCGTCCCTAATTTTTGTAACGTTCAAAGCGTTACAAAATGTGAATTACCTGCTCCATCTATACTATTATAATAAAGCGTAAACACACACTTCTTTGTTACCTAAGATGTCAGCAATTACATATTTTTGGATAATTCTTTTATTAATGAAAAGCCCTACACTTACGGCACGCTTTAGGATATAAGAATAAAAACCCTAATGTGGGAAAGAGACCATAAGTTGCTGCCAACATCAAGGAAGCAAGATTGTCAAGGTTTGTAATGTCATGTCATTTTGACATTTACTATTGTTAATTTGACAAATGTAAACAATAGAATAAAATTTTCATAATTTCATGCAAATGATGCCGCACGGGAACAGCTAGTATTGTATATCATAGCTGGTAAGATGTACTGAGATGTCGGAAGATAGCTTTGAGGATGGTTTAAACATGGTGCGCGGACCATACATGAGTGGGAGCACAGAAAGATGGCTATATAAATATACTTTTATAAATAAGCTGTTGCTCAAGACTCAGCCAGTGTGAAATTAAAAAAAATAATAAAAGTATACCCTATAATAATCAAGGATAATGTAGCTTATTAATGGTGAAAGAATTTTTGAAATTGGTCTAGTAATTTTTGAGTTATTTCAATACATAAAAAAATACGAATCTCCTTTTTATAATACTAGTGTAGATACATACTCATAATTTTAATTTTCAAGATCTTAAAATAAAAAGCACAATTTTTTATAATCTGTATTTTTCATCATGATTAACAGATCGAGGTAACCGACGTGCACATTTTTATTTGAAATGCACTGTACATCCGTATCCCGTATAAAAATAATGTTTACTTCTATTTCGGAAAGCCTCTGATGTTTGTTGAAATAATAAATGGAGTTACGTAGTTTTTAATGCGTTCAAGTGAACGAGATCCCATGGGCGTTGGTTCAAGCATCAAGCTCGAATTTCACTGACCATAACATTTAGAAAAAATAAACAAGGAAACACCTTGTCCAAATTAAGGAAAAAATATTACAAAATTCTGTACATGTTTGTTATTGTCATTACAATTGTTATTCATAATTCAATTTGAAATTACAAAACAAATAAAAAAATCACGAGAACTTATATGAAAAACAGTAAAAATCTTAGTTACATATTCAAAAATGGCTGCAACATACAGACATGACACAACACTACATGCACTATCTGTACATAATATAGTGAAGAAAGTATTACATGCAATTGTTAATAACAACATATCTTATGCATTGTATAGCATAAAGTAAATAATTCTGTGAAAACGCTTTGACTAATTTTTCTGTGTCTGTTAAGCTTCGTTTGACCACAAACCCACCTGAAGAAAATGATGTTGCAGTCGAAATGGTACGCGCTAATTTAATAGGAAGCTGTTTACTCTTCTTTCGAAGGCCCTCGCATCATATTTGGGTGAAAAAAATGTATTTCAAATAAAATTTAATAAGTTACCGATATTTAAAAACCAAAATTATTGTTATTTATTTCACACAGTATATTAAATGGTCTCAGTAAATATGACAATGTGTTAAGAAAACTCTTTTCTTTTTGACCGACTTCCCAAAAGAAGGAGGTACTCAATTCGTCTGTATGTTTTTTTTTTTGTGCGTTACGGCATAACTCCGACGCTAGTGGACCGATTTTGTAATAATTAAGGTGTCAATACGATAATGTTTATGCCCCATTTTCATGTTTCATTTACATCAATGATTCTATGGTCCCTGTGGTGGTCCAAACTCGACACCTGAGACCACAATGGCCTAAAAGCTGTACTAGGAGGGGAAAAATCAGGAATTTACAACTTTAAAAAACATTACAGCAGTGGTTTCACAAAAACCATTGAAATAAAAGGAACTATATGATGTTTAAAAAGATAAAAGTAATTGATTTGATTATCTGATTTACACTATGAAGACAACCCTTACTTTTGCATGTATTCATAATTTCTATAAATATAAGAACTGCTTACTGTTCCGTTACTTTTAAAAAATCTATTAACATAAATTTAACATACAAATGCTATAATAAAATTGTATTAAACCATTTCAATTATTATGACTCCTATAAATGCTACCTAACAAACATTTTTCTATACCCACTTGTATATTGAGAATGGCCTAGTATTGTAATGACAAGGATTCTTGTATGATTCATTAATTCATCAAAGAATTAAATGCTAGAAAACTATAATGACTAACAGACTTTTACCTAACTGCCGCAGAAAATATTTCTCGATTAAGTATGCCGGTTTCACTGAGATCTTTAGCCTAACTAGGCTTTATGTTTAAAAAAAAATGGTGTTTAAAGCCTTTAGGACTATTAAATTGCCAAAGAATATTGATTATTAAAGCAAAATATTGCCAGTCCCTTCGATCTAACTGGTTTGATTTCTATTTAGTAAGCTTATGTTCATCTTAGACATTGAATTAGCCTTTTGATATAACTCCAGTGTACATTGGTCCAGTCATTTTATATATCTTACTAATCTTACTGAAATTATAAATGCAAAAGTTTATATGGATGGATGTTAGAGTTTGTAGCCTAAATGGCTGAACGGATTTCGATGAAATTTGGTACAGATGTGGAGGATAGTTTGGAAGAACACATAGGCTCCTCACTTTTGTTTTTTTTAATTCCATGCGGACGGAGTCGCGGGCGAAAGCTAGTAATTTCATACATGTTGTGATTTAAGGTGCAAAACCCTTTTATTTCTTGTAATCAGACAATTTTAGATGTCATTAATTTCATTAAGATAATCAGTAACATTGTAGTATTGACAGATAAAAACAGATTATTATGTATTTAATATTTTTAGTAATAAACGCTTCAATTCAATGATATGACAAATTAAAAAAAAACAGTGCATATAAATTACAGATCAACTTAAATAAAAAATGAGTTACTCAATGCTGCAATCCAATCAGTATGTTATGAGATGTTAGAAATTAAATTAAAAATAAAAACGTGAAAGAAACAAACATACAGACAACATCTATACAGCCAGCTACATTTGGCGGCTCACATTCTGACCGCAGAGTACCCAGCCATCGGAACACACTCCAAACACCCGCCGCATCACTGCCACACGATAAATGTACGAGATTTTCTGTACAAAACTGCCATTTAGTTGTTCTACTCTTCTATTCACAGTATTAAAAACAAATGTACTTCTTTTTATATATTTCCAAACATCTTATTACAACTTAGAGTACTCCTTATTATTTACATATATAAAAATACATTTGGCACTGCTTTTCACACACAGGAACTGTTTTTGTGGTCACTTTGGCACGGAATGAATCAAGAGACGCGATTTCGAAATCTTTTTGCAATGGAGAACACTGTAAAAATCGCAACCGCTTCACGGACCAGAAACTGCACCGGAGACGAAAAGAGAACAAAAAATAAACGACTCCATCGACGCGTTTCGTCACTAAAAACAATATTTACCGTGGAACTGGGCTACAAAACAAAAATAGCAACCGAAATTCACCGCGGCGTATCGAGCCCTACTGAGTGCCCATCGACTTATATTCGACATTTTCGTGCGAGCAAATCATTAAACCGTCGCTAATTTGCTAAATTGCGAGATAATTAAGTCAGGAAAATGCTTTTCCATTTAAATAAAAGCGAATCGTAACTCAAGAAGTAATTCGATTTGACAGCGGCGCGCGCCCCTCTCCCCGCGTCGAAGTAATTCCGTCGCTCCGCCATCCGGTCGATTTCAGTGTTGCCAGTACAAGTGCGCCGAAGCATTTTTAGGTAAAATAACTGAGAATTACGCCTAAAAATTTTATTTTTTACTTTCTTCTCTAATATGTTTACGAAGCCAATTTTTGTTTTATTATGTTAGTGTTGCCGCTTTCTCTCTATACCTGCGTTAATAAATAGGAACCGACACTTAAAGATGCCTGTTTATCATATAACGATTTTATAAACATCTATTTTATTCTATGTGCTATCATATTCCACATATTTTGCTTACGCTCATAGCTTTTATGCTGTAATAAAATATAAAAACAGATGATTTCTAAGTTTGTCAATTTATTTTAACACTATAGTTTAACAAAAAAAAAACATGAAGGATGGCCAGACAATATACTGGTTATAAAACGACAGAGAGCAAGTACATATGCACATCTGCTTGACACAAGGCAAGGGTGACGCAATGTCGTAATAATTGCTGTCCTTGTAGGCCACTGTACGAAGTATTGCCCGAATGATCCAGACAATTCAAAGTCATAAGGATGCTTCTATTAATACATTTAAACTTATACATTGTTTAGGTTTAGAATTCCTCAAGTTAAAATTATTAAATAGGGAGGGTTTTCAGTATATTAGCAAGCTTTAATTTAATAACTTATCGCTTTTACAATCGTTAACAAGTTGTTTTATGTCCTCTAAACATGTTATTTTGCTAATTATGAGGTTAAAAGAAGTATAAGACGTATAACATTTAGTGTAGTATTGTAATATCTGTGGTATAACGTACCAGCGACTAACTTATAAAAAGAATTGAAGCATAAAATTTATCTAATTTGGTTTTAAATTAAGTCATTACAGCATCGTGTCTGTCGCAAATTAATAGCTAATTAGACGCTTTAATGAGACACGTGCTGCGGCAATGGGTGAGTCACGCACGTTATTGCAGGCAACACCTACGAGACGTACTCTTTAGAAGATGCAGAACATCGACGATCAGTGGATGGAATGCTAATCAAACGAGTATTTGACAAAGTCACCCTAACTTAGGGTAGACTCCGAGCCCCTTGGTGGGGACGTACAGTGTGTGGTGATGATGATCTTCACGGCTCCAACGTTCTTCTTTAAATCATACATACATAGGACAGATTTTAACATGTGTCGTTGAGAACAAGACTAATAATAAGATTTAAATAGACCAGCTAAAAAAGTAAACGGACATAACTTGAATAAACGAGATATACGAGCAATTTAAGCAGTTTGGTCCTTCTACAGTATCACGAAATCCTCACACTCATGAGTTGAATTTGCTAAATTACTTTTACGATAGCTTACAAGTTTTAATATGGACGTTGTGCCAGAAATAAGATAGGCATGCTTCAGTGGTTTGAGCATGTTGAAAGGATAAATTAAGAAATGTGCATTAATATTTGTTCCGAAAGTAAAGTCGTGAAATTGAAATACTCGTGCACGATTTCTAAACTCTTAATTAATATTTATATGAAAAAAATGACTCTAAATTAACTTTCATTTACCGTTTTTAATTTCAAAAATAGTATCATTACGGTACTTAATTAATACAATATACATTACAAAATCACAAAAACGGAACTAGGCCTCGTGTTCATTACTCAGTCTTGGCTTGAAATACAATAGGCTTTTTTACGCCAGTGAAAGAGGACGCGGAACAGCGTCAAGCGAAAATCAGTATCAGAACACAAAAGATGTATAAAGATTGTGCGACGAAATATTTAATAGAAAAATATATTGAAAGAACTAGTTGTGTAAACCAATTCCGATCCACAGATTATATAACTTTAGAATTCGATTCGTTTATGATTGTTTTTTTTTAATGTATTAATTGGCATTGTAGAGCGTACGGTGGATTGATTCGTCTCAATCTCATCCATAAACATGAACATGGCTTGATCAATTAATTTGTTACGGTAAATTAGCATTGGTATTACTAAGAGAGATATCTTTCGAACACACTAGTAACTTTTAATCTGTTAATATCTGTGTCTCGTAATACCAATCATTGCCACGATCGTTTTTTTGTTCACACCATACCTAAATTCAACTACATGTTTACGTTTTTAAGTGTAAAATGCAGACAGCAGAAAAATGTAATGTTCCCCGTAGTTACATAACATTTATAATAAAAAATACAGATATTTATTTACGATAACATTTTTACGAGTAACTGTTACATCGACCTGAAAGTTTCATTTTAAATTTACTTCCTATCTTTGAAATTGCTTATCAAAAAAAACTTGCTTACAATGTCTATTTATTTAATACAATTCCTAGCGTGAATAAACAAATAAACAATAAACACAAATGCCTTACGTAAAACTTGATAATTCTATCCACGTTAAGTAAAATAAGGCAATGGGACAAAACGCAATGCGCACAAGCACTCATTGTCGACCTACGATGTATCGCACAATATGTGCGGCATCGCTTCTGAGTAAACAGGTTTCTGTGAAGTGTACTGTGTAAACGTATTGTTGACGCTTGTTATAAAACATGTGTTCACATAACTAATTATTACAATGGTTTCTTATGTCTGCACCAATACAATGCATTTCGTTCATTACTAAAAGAATGCATTCGAGTTTGACTATGTGGTGATTTCTGTGTGCATACGTTTATAGTCGAAGGCATTTTAGATCTGTAAACACCTTTTTGGAGTTAATTTTTTTTTTAAGTTTTTTAAGCTAGCTAGTTTTTTTTTTTTAAGGAATTAATTAAACCTAATAGATAGAAATAGGTCTAAATATCTCAAGGCAAGTATCGAGGTTACTGAAAATAACCTCTAATACGTTGTGTGACATAAACGGAACGCAACGCCACAGGAACAGCGCGGTGAGCGATTTGCGTGGAATCGTTCCCAGTCAGCCATTCCCTCGCTCCCGATCTCGAACCATAACTATGTACCGCACTATGTTGCCTGAGAAGGCTTTTGCTCCTCGTAGGGGTGTCACGATAGGAAAAACAAATACTCGTGAAAAACCCAAACATTATTTACATTTTCACTGCAAGTGTGAAGTATCTTAGCCCATCTATATCATTTATTTAATAAAATACTGTAGGTAATCCTTAAGAGGTCCTCAATGTTTTTAATTTCTTTACTTTATTACAATAATCATCCTAAGAGGATTCATTTATTCCTTACAGAATACATGTTAATACCTACAAGTAGCATAGATTATTATTTTTAGTTTCGGGAGTATTTTCCTTAGATCTAGCAACCCTGCGCTAACGATGCGTTCACTCTTCGCGCGCCACTTCCATACTGATGCGTTCTGCTTCCGCGGGCAACGCGCTACTGGCTCACCGGTGAAGGCCAAACATACCTTATTTGTTTTATTTTAATTAACCACTAACTACATAAAAGCGAAAATAACTACTCGTTACATATTTATGTAATTTACTAATTAAAATTATTTGCTTTTTAAAGTTCTAAAAGACATAAAAACGTGGTCAAAACTATAAACATAGTATTTATATCGTGAAATAGTTTCGCTATTTGCTTATTTTACGACATTCAACAAATAACTTATATTTACACAAAAGATAAAAGCATAACGCACGTTAAATTTTAACTGCGATAGAATACCAGCTAAAAAATATTACATAGTATTGTTTACTGGGTCGCCAGTATTTCTACATCTATGAGGAACCGTTAAAACTATTGAAGCATGAAGCTAAGTGACCTAGGTAACTCGGAACAGGGAAGTTGAGGTTGAATGATGCACCTAGACACAACAATGGCTATGACGTCACGCAAGGGTCAATGTTTGATTAACAAGCGAACGTACAATAGGGCTTCCTAGACGTGAGGGCTTTACGAATGTATAAAAATGCAATTTATGTATATTCACAACTAACTGTTCGCGACTTTGTCGTCATGAAATTAAAAAAATAATAAAAGATATGTTACTCGCGCATAAATTACCTTTCTAATGGTGAAAGAATTTTTGAAATCAGCACAGTCGTTTTTGAATTATTTCAATACAAAAATATAAATTTTTCCTCTTTATAATTTAGTATAGATTGCAACTCTACTACCGTTTAGTGCTCCTAAAATCAGTTTTTATAATAAATTGTATTCAAAACTAAGAAAAACTCTAGCGTTTGAAAATCTAATAAAATTTAATCAACAAAGGGTAAGAAAGATGTAGTTGAGATACGTAATATTTCTATTTATAAAGCGCTATAGCTGTACAAAGACGCAAAACCAAAGGTACTCTGTCTTATTTGGAACCGTCACCTGACGATAAATATGGCTAAAGAGCTACCATAACATACGTGATTGTCCACACGGCCAGTCATTCGCGCGAGCACGTCCTGATTGTGGCATCGTTTAAACTTACATTACCACTAATGGCAGGCCTAACGAGCCGAGAGAGGCGCGCCGGTGACATCAGCATGTCGACCATGGTGTACTATATACTATGCGAAGCGAATTGATGGGATATATTTACAGATCAAACGCTATTATGTCGCTATGAGATTAGAATGTAGGTAACTTTATCAATCAGAGATTTCTAAATAAAATTTTATTTCATTGTTTACATTTATCAAATAACTAATTACAAATGTCAAAATGAAATGACATGATGACATACCATGGCAATCTTATTTCCTTGATATTGGCAGCGTGTAGCTTATTGTCACTTCCCCACATTAGGGTTTTTATCCAATTTATTTACCCCCTAAGTTTAGTAGCGTGAAAATATAGAGCCTAAAGCGTGACGTAAATGTAGGGGTTTTTTTTATTAAAAAAGGATTATTCAAAAATATGCTGTAATTGCTGACATCTTAGGCAACAAAGAAGTGTGTGTTTACGCTTTATTATATTAGTAAAGATTGTGTTCGTTACGTGGGACTTTTTATCGCTGTACAAGTGTGCGATTATCCTTAACTAACCGCCAAGAAGCCATTGATTTAACTGAGTTACAAATAC